CAATAATGAAATCAAAAGGGAATCGACTCAAAGTGTTACTTCAAACATTCAGCATTTAAAAGCATCAAAACGTTTCGCATTCAATTGAGTCCTGAACTATCGAAACGCTTCAAACGTTTGAAAGAAAATCATTTGGAAATGTAAGATTCGATAAAAAATCAGATTTCAGTGCAATAAGAATCCTGAACAAACCCTATAATTTGAGAATTGAAAAGCGTCTGAAGGTTGAGTGAATGACTCCAAAGGCATTGTTGGTCAACATGAACACTTTTCCCTTTTCCTTCTTTCATCAGGATCATCATTAATGTTATATTGTCATGAGGTGATAAATGATGATGCTTATCATGAGAACATTTAATGAAGGTGAATAAGTGAAAAGACATTCTTTTTTACTGTAAGTCAACTTGGAATCGTAAAAAATGATTTCAAAGGAACACAAACACACAGCAAACAATTAAATATTTGGTAAGCAAAGGGTTGCTTGGCTTTACCAACAGTTCTTTTTTCACATCAACCAAATGTTAATATTGAATACTTTTGTTTGGTCAGAAAAAAAATAATATTTCAAAGCATTTTATATTAAAGATAACAAAATGAAAATCATTAATGTTTCTCGGAAGCAAAATGATACAAAAAGCAAGGGTTAGCCAAAAGGAATTAAATTTTTGTAAACATTTTTCTCTCACTTTTTAATATTATTATTGCATTTATCATAATAATTATCACGTAACAAACAGCAGAATCAACGTTAAACAACATTAAAGGTATTATCATTTCAACATCTTATTATTAGGGAATCGCAAGTTAACCCTTTCACCATCATTAACAAGCAACCAAAAGCTTCAGTTTGTTTCAATTTTACTTCATCATTGAAATGCTTTGTTCAGTGGAAATTGTTTTTCAACATTTCTTGTATAATTAGCAATTCCAGGTTCAACTGGACTCTTATTAATTACATTATCTTTTAATGTTTCCAAATGGTTTGGCCAATCAATTTGTAAATCAATTGCAAGTTCAATGTCAAAATCAATTGGAAATGGTTAAGCTTGATCTGAGCAGTTTCAATTAAGTTCAATTTGTTGCAAACTCTGGTCAATGTTTAATTTAATTTTCAAATTTCCCTTTTCCAACTCATTTGAACATCTTAATTATAATTTCATCTTCTGATGAGTAAATAATGATTTTTTTGCTCAGCTCTGTTCAGCTTATATTCATTGTTAACACTCATTTATTTGGTTATTTAATGTTGGGGAATGAAGAAATTGTACAAAAAAATGATTTTCTGTTCAGATTACAATTATTAACTTCATTTTCATGAATAGAATTATCATGATGATAAAGGAGAGAAAAAATGAAAGAAGAAAAAAAAGATTAATGGATAAGAATATTTTTCTTACAATTATTATGTTTTAATGTTTAATATTGAGCTTAATTGTTACACATTAACTCGGTATTTAAGATATTGTTTAAATCATCATTAAAGTGATGCAAAAAAGTCACAAAATATAAAGTTAATTAAGCTGAAGAAGCGAGAAAAGGAAAAGATAATTAAGCAAATTCAAGGCTATTCAATGGACATGAAAAAGGTAAGTTTTGCTTTTCGAGTTTCAATATTTTTCGAGGAAAAAAAGTTTGTAAAATGAGAAGGAAAGGGTTGAAAGAATGGACCAGAAAAAAAGGTAAATCTATTGTCATTAGAGGAAAAATAATGATGGTGAAGATGAGGATAAGGAAAATGTGATTTGATTTGACGTTTGATGATAAGTTAAAGATGAAACATTTTGCTGAAAAAGTGGTTAAACTCAGTTGTGGCGAAAAAAATTGATGAAAATTTTTTTTCTTCTCGCCTTTTTTTAGCTTTTCAACATGCATCTTCACTTTGCATCCTCTTCTCATTGTTTCTCATCTTCTCTCAGGGAGTTTATTTCCTATCATCAGCTGGGAGGTTCAAGATAGAAACTCTTGGGAGTTGAAATGATGAGTTTATGATATTGATGCAATTGTGATACTGATATGTTGATGATGATGATGAAAGATGATGTTTAGATGAAATAGCCGTGAACCATGATATCGTTACTTTACACCATTGTTTTGTCATCAAACTGGTTACTATTTGCTCATTATTCACTTTAATATTAACTCGTTTTTTTTCATCAACAGTTTTTTTCATCTTTTCTGATAATATACAATATTTCTTGTCTGTTTACAGATAAAAATGAGTTTAACATTTCCTTTGGTAAAATCGTTAGAAACAGGAGACTGGAAAAAAAAGTTAACAGAAAATCATTATTTTATTATAATGGTTGCTTCTATTGATATTAGTTTTTTTCTCGTTCTGATAATAATTAGTGTTGAATTTATCATGCCAATTCAATTAATCATGGTGAGATAAAAATTAATGAGAATATAGTTTTTTTAAGAATTTAATTTTCCATTTGGTTTTGCCTGGGATTGAGTGAGAAATTTAATTTTAAGTTTAGGGATTGAGTTATGGATTGAGTAATGATTGCTTGTTGGTTCAGTTGAAAAGAGTTGATTGTTTTTTAATTAGCAAAGTTAAGTGGACAGTTTACAGTTTAGATGATGGAAAGACACAGAAAGGGAAGTTAAAGGTTGTCTTGTCCAGGAGAAGATGAAGACAAGAAGAAGGAGGATAAAATGAAGATAAACCTTGTATTGGGTTCAAGTGGAAGAACCTTCTTTTTCCCTGTTAATCGATTGCAAGTTTAAAATTTAATTGGAATCTGAATTGGTTTAAGGCCTTTTCATGTTTCAAAAAACAAAGACAAAAGTTGATGAAGAAAGGTAAAGATGAAGAGAGAGAAGATGATAATGATGATGTTGATGAAATGTTCATGTCCAGCTTATTGACCATGTGATTAAAGGGAAGATTGAAAATCTTTCTGATGAGCAAAGCATTTTTCAAAAGTCTTTTTACATGGCCATTGAATTGAAGTTAAAAGGAAGGGATAACCAAATTTGCATTCCCTGAGTGATGAGCAGATGATGAAAAGGGATGAAGAAAGGAGGAGGATGAGAAGATGAAAGGCAAGAGTTGGTCAATTTTTCTAATTTGCAATATGGAATCTTTACTCTTTGAGAATCTGTTTAAACTCATTCAGGCAAAAGTTGAAGAATTAAAATTGTAATGATAATCAGTGAACCATTGGAAAGGGAAGGATTTAAAGCTCATGAACAAGATGCTGGTAATCATGGAAAAGCCAAGAGGAAGATGAAGCCAGAGAATTGGGAAGATAAAGATGAAGACAAACAGAAAAGGAGTAAAAATCTTCTCTTTTTTTTCTCTCATTCCAAGTTAAATGCTCTTTCAACTTGGCCTCTTCTCTTGCCAATTGAGTAAGATTTTAATTTTAATTTGCATTTTGTAAGTTACCCGGAGGGAAGGCGATTCATCAGAATCATTCAGAATATCAACTGAAAACAGTTTTCACTTTTTTCTCTTCTTCTTTCATCATTATCTTCATTTTACTTTCAAGATTTACCTTTAATATCGTTATTGTTATTTCATTATGAAAAGGGAAATGTGGAAGCCTTGAAGGTAACTTTTCATGATTAAAGGCAAATTGAAGATGAATTGAAATGCAAATTTAAAGGATTTGTAAAGAAACTGTTAACTTGGATAAACTCACCAAGGGTCATTGGGAGGCGCTGATAGGATAATTGGGAGTGAAAACTGGGAGTGAGGATAAGATGCAAAGCAATTGTTTCTTCTTCTTCTTCTTCTTCCCTTTCTTTATCATCCTTTGCCTCTCTTGTCAACTTTGAATTTTATCTTTCCAGTTAATATTTTTGCTGGATAAAAGTGATGAAGAATTAATGGAATCACTGATTCGAATGAAGAGACATGTTAATTGTATGACCTGGAAAGATGTTTTACTTTAATCATCTTTTTTTTGCCTTCTTCTTCTTCTCACTCTTCTCAAAAATCATCTTGAAATTTGATGAATCCTCTTTTGTCTTCCATCTTCCTCATCTTCAACCTTTTCCTTCAACTCTTTCTCTCACCAATTTTACGTCAGATAATCCTTTTTCATCACATTATACTTGAAGAGTACATATTTTATGGATCAATGAACATGGACAATATTTAATTTCGGTTATTTTGTCTTCTTTCTTTAAACCATTTCCATTCCAGTTGACTAATTAAACCCTTTTTTCAGGGGAAAACATGAATCAATAAAAGTAAAGGTAAAAATGGTGAGAAATTTTCATGATCAATGTTTTCATTTAGTCAATTTAATGATCAATTTTAGAAGAAAAAAATTTTCTGATAAAATGTCATTTTTTCGGCCTTCATTTTGTTTGGTGAATCTTGGATGATAGGGTCACGTGACTGTTTCAAGTCAGATAAGATGAAAGGACAAAAAGATGAGAATCAAGAGTTTTCTTCCAATTCTAATCTCTTCATTGGGTAAAAGGGTTAAACAATTGGTCTTCATCATGAAAATGATTTCACTTTTTTTTGCCTCTTTTGCTTTCACTTCAATCTTTTCATCTTCCCTTTGCACTCAACTTAGGGATGTTAATGATGATTATGTATTTGAAAGATGAATCAAAAAAAACATCATCATCAACTATTGTCTTCATCATCTCTTTATCTTCTTCTTTCCTTATTCTTTATTTAGCTTTTCGAGTTTTTTTTTCTGCTGCTGCTTCTTCTCTGGCTTTTCTGTTCACTTGATTCTGTATTCATCAAGTTTTAATTGACAAAATGAAACAATATTTACTAACTTCAATTCCCAAATCAACTTAACACTTAATTCAGAATATAATTCAACTTTAGGTTGACATAAACGAGAGAAAGAGAGAAAAAAATCAACTCAAATAACATCAACAGAACATTTAGTTTCTTTCAGTTTCACTTTTTTTTCTGTTGCTTGTGACTTTCTTTTTCTCCTTTTGCAAACCTTTTCCATCAATTTCTGTCGCCTTTGTTTTACTCTTTACCTTTCTCTCGTTTCTTAAAAGTCTTGTTAATATTCTCATTTGGCTAACTTTTTTTTATATTCATTTGTGTTTGTGTACAATGACGAGCTCTGACTTGATGATTACAATGAAATCAACAACAGCAACAGCTACAAAAAAAGACTACAATTTCAGTTGCCAATTAGGAACAATCACAGAGTCATTTTTTTTCACCTCATCCAATGTCATTCAAATGCATGAGGTAAAAAAACACATTTACAGCTAAAAAATGCTGTTAATCTTCAAGTTAACTGAGGTAAACTGTTTTGCTGGTGATTGACTTTACAAAACCAAGTAACATCATAATTTAACATGTTAAAACAATCAACATTTTATCGATTTTAAGGTTTAGTCTTTAACCATTCCAGAATCTGCTACTAAATGAAGAGTTTAAATGGTGGGCCAAATTGAAATTGCCAGCTCTTTTTGCAAGGCCTGCAACTGCAAGTAAATCTAAATAGGTTGATAATGTTAGCCCATCACCGTCTTGAGTCCTAAAATCCGTAATAATAAAATAAAAAATGTAAATAAAAATCATTAATAAAATGCATTACCTTACGTCTATTTTCAATAATGTCAGCTTACCTTGTCTTGTGTTTCTACAGGCTGAATTATCCTTTCATTTCGGTTTATTCCGTTGAAACTTGGCCACGTTAGCGGGGAATATAAGAATAAAAATTAAATAGTGATTAAGAACATAATTAATAAGACTAATGATGAAAATTAACTCAAAACTAAGGTTGAGCCTTAAAAACAATCGGATTTTACAGAGTGGACAATGCACGCCACCTTTTGGATACTTTTGAAGCGAGCCAATTGCATGAAATATAACCTTTGCTTTATTGTTTTTGATGATACTTTGTTCATTGATTTATTAACACCTTTCATGTTCTTTTCATTAAAACCATGGGAAGTCATGATGAGTACAAGATAGATTTTATTTATGTCTGTTTGAGATCTTGAGGTTTTATAAATCGCGCGTGAATTTCTGATGTCAACATGTGTTAAGTTAACACTGTTAACCCTATCAACCGTTTAATTTAGCTCATTTGATTGTTTAGTAATCTTTGAGGCATTATATTTAATGTTTTGCGTTGAACCAGTGAATGATAAATCATCAATTAAGCTTGGCTTATTGGACTTTGATTCTATAAGATCAATTCATTTGTTGATTGCATTAATAGGCTCTTCAGATTGTTGTTTTAATGGTAAGTAAGCAAGAGCTTTTTTTATTGCAAATTTGAATTGATTATTCGTGAATTCATCTCATTTATCCAGCAAACCCATTGATCAAATAACTATTCAACAATTGAGCTGTATCACTTAAAGATTTTTCAAATTTATTAGAGGTAAGTTCACAGTTTTCATTTCACTGTTATTTTTCGCATGTTTATTATCAATATTATGTCTTTTTTGACTTTTTTAATATTTATCTTTCCAGATGATTGCTGATGGTATAATTTATCATAATATTTACCAAGCTTTTGTGAAAGACATGGCCAAGGCAAAAAAGATGCAATTTGAGGTTGAAAACGGAGAGAGAAAAAGCAAGACAAAAGGATGTAAAAAAAGTGCTTCAAATACAGTGAAGTGAAAAAAACGAGATCAAAGGAGATGGTATAGAGTATAGCCTTGCAAAATGGTATTTGGATGAAATGAAAAAAAATGAAGGATAAAACTGATGAGCAGATAACTTGGAGATGAACTGTTAAATCAAAAGCTAGTATTGCACAAAAGATGCTTGTGGGACACAAAAGAGAAATAAGAAGGCGATGTAAAAAGAAGCAGAAAATGAAGGAGAGGGAGGAAAGAAAAGAGGATGAGGAGCAAACGAAACAATAAGGGAGGACAAAAGATATACAAAGATAAAAATTTTGATCGGATAGATTTGATTTTAGATCCAAGAGCGGGGGTGAAGTTGATGTTCGGGACCTTAACGAGATGCATTGAAAAGGAGAAGGGAGAACAGCAAAAAATGGTTGGAAAAATAAGTTTCGGAGGAAAAGCAAAGATTATTATTGAAGAGATGAGGAGACGGTGATGAAGGCAAACCTCGATAAAGCAGGCAAGAAAGATATATCAGAAGACCAAAAGCAAAGGCTAAAGGCTAAGGCAAGGCAAAGAAATGGATGGAAAGAAAAAGGAAGAAGTAAGAGTGAATGGTTGAAGCTCGGGTAAACGCGTGCTGTTAAAAAGCTACACACATTAATTTAAAGGTATCAGGACAGATGGTCTTATCCACTTTCTTCCCTTTTTCTTTTCTATCAAAATATATATATCCGTGAATATACTTGATATCGTTTCCCCATCTTGATCAACCTTCATAATCTCAATCTTCTTATTCTTCTTTAGGCAGTTTTTAAGCCAATAATAACTGAATCCCGCAAGAAGAAATAATGTTTCCATCATCATCCAATGCCATCCACTGTTGTCATTCACTTTCATCGCTAACCATTTTCATCTTGTTTTTACATCATCTTGGAGAGTCACTATTTACATTTAATAATTGTAAAGGGTGGATCGACAACAATCATCTTATGAGGATGAAAAATTTAAGCAACATTCAACACTGGATTGGGAATTGAAAGACCAAAAGAGAGTAAAGGCAAAGGATGAAGAGGATGAAGAGGAGGGAGGTGGAGGTGGAGAAAGGATGGTTGAAGGATTGGTTGGAAGGTAAGAGTAAAGATAATTTTCAAAGTAATAATTTTAATAAGATCATGCAATGGTTAGAATGAAGGGGAAGAAAAGGATACAAAGGAGAGAAGAGAATCAATTTCGACTGGTTAAGTTGAAATTTAAACGGAACCTTATATTGTTCAATCAAAACTTGAACCATGCAAATAAACTGATCATCCTCTTTGATACATTTTACTCTATTTCATCCTAAGATATATTACATTTACGAGGAGGATTTTGAAGTAAGTTTTTTTTCATTCAATGCAGATGAACTATGAAGGAGTAGAAATGTTTGTAAAATAAATTGAAATAATAATCATACATTTGGAAGAAGCCAGTTTTGATAGCAGAAAAAAAAGGTTTCTGATTGATTAAAAACTGTAACAAAAATAAGGATGATGTGGTTACTCAGTGAATAAAAGATATGCAAAAATGAAAATGTAATCATTTTGAAAGATACACTGAACAAAATGATTCTGATGAAAAAAAGCAAGATAATCAAAATTGATTGATTTGAAAGAAACAAACAAACAAATGTGAAATGATTTAGATTCACCTTTTCAAATGCAAAGTAAAATTCAATATCACCAAAAAATGATACTTTTCATTTGATAATTAATCAGTGAATGAAAACTCATGAATATAAAATGGTTGGTAAAAGACAAACAATCAGTAAACTTTGATTTCACCTTATTGTAGCCAAAAAAAAGGGTGAAAACAAATGCGTAAACATTTAATAGCAGTCACTGTTATTGTTATTATCAACAATAACAATAAAAAAGCAACATTGAAACCATAAATAATCGGAAAAGGGAAATAATGAAGGATAATTAGCACATCTAAATCACTAGTTAATTCAAGTAAAGTCAACATAAATAAAACCACAACATTGAAATGAAAAGCAACAAACAAATAAGTGAATCAATCCCCACAGGGCGTGCTTCTTACCCTCAACTCCCTGTTGGTGTTGAGCATTTTTTTGCTTCACCATTCTTCCACCCTCTTCTTCCTTCCCAGTCAACTCTCAACACACTCTCATGAATAGCTGATACCAAGCTCTATTAACATGAACAACAACAGGAGAAAAAAATTTCTATTCTTACATTTTCTTTATCAACAACAAACTACCTCATAATGGCAACAATGCTGAACGGAACTAGAAGAAGGCAAAAAATTAACCATATTTTTGTGTCTCAAATGAAACTTTCACCTCCCAAGGTTAACCCTGGGAGTGGAGCTTTTTTTGTCTACAATTGAAGGGAAAAAAAGTTCAAGATGACAAAAAAGATGAAAATAATAGATGATTTAATCTGAATAAAGCCTGAAGAAAAGGTTAGAAAAGGGTAAAAAGCATGAAAAGCACATTTTAAGTGGGCTCATGTTTTTTTTTGTATTCATCTCATTACTATCAAAATTATCATTATTATTATTACACTTCCTTTTATCAGTTTTTTTACATTTCACTCTTCACCTTCGCCTTCATCTCCAACCCTCAGTTTCAACCCTTTCATGACTGTTTTTTTGCTCTCTTCTTCATGCTTCTCTTTTTTCAGTAATACTTTGAATCTCTCAAGACACTTTAATCTACTTTTTATTTATGCATAAATGTTGTCATTACAATACATTTTTTTTATTCACTTCAACCCTTCGCCTTTTTTTTCCTAATCTGTACAATTAAGCTTTACTTTTTTTCAGTTCAATATTATTATTATTTTACATCTAATGTGTGTTTTGCATCTCTTGAGGCATTTCCAGGTTCACATTTTTGCACATTTACACTTGAAGAAACACTTATTTAATCAGATTATCGTTGTTAATCAAAAATATTAACATTGATACTGTCAACGGTTATTGCTATTAGTTAATGATTTACAAGTAAACATGTTTCATTATCCAGTTAACAGCTAATATTTCAAGTCTTGACATTAATTCAATTCAATTCATTATTTAAACATTAACATCAATAATTATATAAAATCGTGTATCTTTAACTCTATTAATCTAGTCTTAATAATTCAACTAATTGCTTCAAAATTTGCCATTTTGATCAACTTTCTATTTCTCATCAAGAAGCAAAAATTGTCAAAATATTCAAAATCTGTCCTAAAATTGAATCAGCAAAAGATGTTCTTATTTTTCATTTCAACCTAAATTGTACTTGCCAAATCTGATTGTCTGTTTATTGCATTAATAATGTTTATTGATGAAGATTTACGTTCGTCATAATTGTAATAACAGTGATTTTATTAACATGTGTTTAAACAAGCTGTAAAAGTGATTAAAAATTGACATGTTTGGTGTAAGAAGACAGAAGGAAACTGAATTTGTTTGATTACAATTTACAATCGATATTGATTGTCTTCTTTCTATTGACCGATACTGAAACATTTGTAAAACAATGATTTAATTTGTTTCAATTTTGACTGTTTATTTAGATTCTGGTGTAACATTATGTAGAAGCGAAGATAATGGAGTAATAAAGGTGATGAAGGTTGGTGGCATTTTAATGACAATCAAAGATTTCCATGTTAATTATGAGCTTGCATCAAGGTGACATCCTTTGGTTAACAATCAAGGTAATCATGAGCCGTTTCTAATTGTAATTATCTAATCATAACCAAAACTAGCAGGTAAAATGGTTTCTTGGGCTTCTGAATAAACACGTAAATTGGTGAATTATGCTTTTATTGACTTAAGATTGCTCATCAATCAACTCATTGATTCACTTGATTGATCATTCCTTTATTGTGAACAATTGAACATTTTTTGTTTCCATTTCACCAAGAAATCAAGAAAGTTAGTCATTCAGTTGAATAGACAATTGATGTAAACAAATTGTTTCAAATATCTAATGTTATTGCTTTTAGTGTTTCCATTCAATAAGTTGTCAGTGTTTCTCAATTTAGTGTAATCCATCGCACTGGCTTAATGATTTTGCTTTAATTGTGGTTTAGCTGAATTTGCAATTATTGAACAAGTAAATTACAAATGACGATATTAACCTGATTTCATTTTAAAGCAAAGACAGTTAACATCAATGTCACTGTGCTATCAACAACCATAAAACAAACATCATCATCACAATCAAAAGACCATCATGAGTACCAGTTATTGTTCTGTCTCTTCATCATTAACATTGCTTTTCTCGCATTTCCAAGTCTAAAGTAGTTTAATACGAAAAGTCGACCTTTAACAATTTAATCAATATTCCAATTGTAATTAATCAAAATGACTCGATGAAAACAAAGCACCTCTGTAACTGTTTAAGTGTTTATACATTCATCCACTGTCATCGCCATAAACTGAGTTACTTGCTGTTTTCAAGCTGGTTTAAGGTTAATTGAAAAGGATTAATTGAAGCTGTTTTGCTTATTTATTTCCCAAATTAAATTTGGTAATCTAATCTTGCTTTTTATTCTTACCATTTCAGTTTGTATACAAATCAATTGGTGGATTAACCTGGTTTTTGACGTTAATTTGATCCATTCAAAATGGGCTTCTTGGTTAAAGTGAAAAGATTTTGTCTGGACAATATTTTACCAGCAACAACGATGATTAGTGTAGTTACTTCTGTCGTGGTGGGAATCCTTTTGCGGAATGGATCGACTAGTTGGACTGAACGTCAATTGATGTACATTGAGTTTCCTGGAACCATTTTTTTGCGTTGTTTGAAATGTCTCATAATTCCAATCATGGTGACTAGTTTGATATCATCCTTAGCTAACCTGGATAGTTCAATTTTTGGTAAAATTGGTCGACGTGCAGTTACTTTTTACTTAACGACAACTTTTCTTTCCATTGTACTTGGAATTGTTCTTGTCATGATTATCAAACCTGGAAAATCCGACATTCATGCAGCATCTTCATCTGTAACTGAGTCGCCACTCAATACTCAAATGACTACAGTTGATACCGTTTTGGATTTGATAAGAAACATATTTCCTTCAAATCCAGTTGAAGCTACAATTTTCAGTACTCGAACTGTCTTGACTCAACAAAGTGATTCAAATAATACTGATCTGTACAGTTGGGATTTCAAGGAAACACTCGAACAAAATACAAATATAATGGGAATCGTTTTAATTTCATTGGTTGTTGGTATTGTCATAGCTAAACTTGGTGAAGCAACTGAGCCACTTAGAGTATTTTTCACCGCATGCAACCAGGTTACGATGGTTATCACAACTTTAATCATCAAAGCAACTCCAATCGGCGTTTTTTTCCTAATTTTACCCAGAGTTCTATCTGTCCAATCAATTCAACTTTTGCTCGAAACTGTTGGTTGGTACACATTTACAGTGCTCTTTGGGATCGCCCTTCACGCATCATTGTTGCTTCCATCAATTTATTTCCTCTTGACTCGGAAAAATCCTTACTCACTGATCATGCATCTTTCAGCAGCCCTACTAACAGGTTTTGGTACATCTTCAAGTACAGCAACACTTCCAGTGAGTAATCAGCAAGTTTAAAACCCAATTTATCAAGAAATTTCAACTTGAAATATTTTCTAACTTTTCATTTACAGTTGACGATGCAATGTTTGGAAGAAAAGGCTGGAATCGATTCCCGAATAACTCGATCGCTTCTTCCAATAGGATCAGTAATCAACATGGACGGAACTGCTTTATACGAAGCTGTTGCTGCGCTTTTCATTGCTCAACTACGGAATGTCGATTTGACTTTGATTAAAATAATTATCACAAGTGTAACTGCCACAGCTGCTTCCATAGGAGCTGCAGGAATACCACAGGTATAAATTATTGTCTTACAAATCATCTTACAGTCATTAATATTTTTTCTATTTCAATTAAGGCTGGACTTGTAACAATGGTCATCGTTCTGAATGCTCTCGGCCTGCCTGCTTCTGATATTTCATTGATTTACATTGTGGACTGGTTTTTAGACCGATTTCGAACAGTGTTGAATATTATGGGCGATTCTTTCGGTGCAGCCATAATTGCTCATATAAGTGAAGATGATTTGAAAAAAGTTGACGAAAGAAATAAAGAAAATTTCAATTCTGTTTATTTCATTGCTGAGCAACAACTTTCATCAACACCAACAGTGACGATAACAAATATCAAAAGCAAGAATCCAAATTCAAATTAGCACACAAATAATCCTACCGATAGTTTAATCTTTTCAAATATTTTATAATTGTTATAATTTTCAGTATTCACATCTACTTCAGCCTAATCAATTGTAAAAATTCGTATTCTTCAGTCTCTTTTTATAACCATTTGAGGATTCACTTGAAATTTGAAATAGTCTAACATTGTAAGTCAAGATTCAAGCCAGTCAAGGCATACAATTGTTTTCAATCTCAGTGCTTAAAATTTATAAATATTTGATTACAATCAATCATTTCTATGAATAAAAAAATTGATTGAAAATTCTCGACTTACAATGGTTAGACAATTGAATCTCAACTGAAAGATTCACCTTTTGCCATTTATCTTTTTATAGCCCTAATGCGAGTAAAAACAAATTAACGTAATTAATATTATGTTTAGACAATAAAAACATTATTATGTTAAATCATTTTTAGCAGTAGGAAGAGGAAGGGTTAGAGTGGGTGAGAGTAAAAAAAGAATCAACCAAAAAAGGTTAATAAAGTTGAATACTTTGATAATGAAAAGAGATCTTATAAAGTAATCACATTGTAATAGCAACAACTTAAGCTGAGTTCCTCCTCATCTTCATCTTTTTTTTCTTCCTCTCCTCCATCATCCCCTGGGTGAGAGATCCTCTTTTTTATGTTAATTCAATTGTATCATCTTTCTTTATTAACTCTAAAAGCCATTAATTAATGGGTGTAAATTAGGATCACGGGTTGTGGTTAACCTTTTATGTGCTTTCCTTCACATTGTTTTTCTTGCTCCTAAGACTACATTCTGGGGTAACTTTTGTTTCTTTATCATCATTTAATTGTTGGTTGATTGAGAAAAAATTATTATTTTTTATGCGTATCATCACCTCTCTATGGGGATTTAGTTATGGGTGTTGTTATTAAAGTGAATTACGAGGATTATGGGGCGATAAATTGATGCAAATTAAATCACAATTTACATAATAATAATAACATTGCTTAGAATCATCTTTATGTTTATCCTTTTTTCATTAATAAATTTACTTTTAACTGATTAAAATGGATTGACTTCAATTACTGAACCATTGTTGTGAAATAATATCATTTAATTAACATTGTTTTGTTGTTGTTCATTTGGCATATTTCAATCTTGACTTGATTGGGATACAATTTGTGATGATAAATGATTTGAAGAGGCAATGCATGTGAAAAATTCAAAAAGCTTAGTTCTGTGAAAATTAATGGTTCAATCAATGATGAAATCAATCAGTTATTTAAATAAATAAACTGAGCTTGGGAAATTTTCAATCGTAATTCAAATCTTCTTGAGAAACTTGAAAATTATTGGCATATTGAAAGGTTATCAAAATATGGACAACTCAAATTTCCGTGATAAATATTATTTTATTGAGATTCAAGAAAAGTGTGCTGATCAAAATTAGCAATAATTATCAACAAAATAGACCAAACACTAATTGGCATTGAGCAATTAAAGAAATAACATAAAAATCAAAAGATTCTCACATTGAGTAAGTTTTGTATTTACAATAGGCAAACGGTGTGAAAAGTGGATTTACACTTGTCGATATGCAGTTTTTGTTGAATTGTTCTCGTAATATCAGTTTCTTTATGTTGACCTTAAGTCTATGGACGAATTCTGTTACGATTGTCACGATTGTTACGATAAATGAATACTAAAATTTTTAAACATTCATATGGGTATCAAAAAAATTGGATTTTGAAAAAAATAATTGAAAGAAGCGAAAGCAATAAATTAATATGATGGATGGATAATTGGCTTGATCCAGATATTCTACACCTTAACTGGTCCATTCTGCTTGGTTTATTCTTTTCAACGCTCAAGTATTCGGATTCTAAGTTTTGACCATCAACATAGGTCACTAGATCCAGATAGGGATATTCATATCCTTGATTACATTCACATTTGTAACCTCCAGACTCATATTTACGGCCAAACATTGGAACACAACGAGTTGATTCACGATCACATTTGTGTGTCCCTTCAAATGCGTTAGCTGTATTACCGTAGCTGTCACATTGATTGATATCTAATTGTAAGAGATCCATGTGAACAGAAACGACTCCTTTGAACACCAATTTGTTGCGTAAATTATTCCAGCCGAAAAATGGCGAGCTATAAGTGACTAACCATCTCTTGTGGAAACCATTACAGTCATAATAAGGCCGAGACCAGTAGCCATGATTCAATTCTGCAGCTTGATATTGCAATGGATATTGGTCAAATTTAATTGTGTTTAATCCAGATGAATTGTAACGAATATTAATCTTCGTTGTATATGTTTGTAGCTGATCCGTTATGCCGGTCCAACGTAATTTGAGGTATTTAAATGCTTCATTTTTCAAATAGTCAGGTTCACTACTTGGTCCAGCAGATCTTTTACCAGCGAGATCAATTACGTTAAATGCACGCAATTCTCGACGAGGACGCCAAGCATACGGAGCAAAATATGTATAATTCGCGTTGAATTGGTTACGATCAAAAAAGACACCAGCTCCCAATAGTTTCAGATCACCAGAGACTAAACTAAGAACTTCTCCAATCATTTGATCAGTTGTTAATGATTTATCAGGAACTCGGAACTCAGCATAAGAGACAGTTGGATCCACAACTTGTAGAAACGCTGAAATGAAATTTGCTAAACGAAGAGCCATTCGAGCTTGATTTTCAAACTGTTTTTCTTTATCATAAGCAACATTACCAGGTAGATAAAGCTTATCCGGACTTGTACGTAGAAAATATTCACAATTATCTGGTGTAACATTATGACGGACAAAATCAGTGAAAGTGTTAGCATCTAAACGCTCCGATGTATTTTTACCCAAGCCTGTCAATGTTTTGAGAGTACCAAGTAAAATTTTGGCATGAAAAGTATCCATAACCTCGGCATTTTGGGTTCTAACAGCTAGGTAACCAATCTTCTCACACGAATATCCTTTTTTGTACTCGTTTGTGGTTGCTCTTTCAATTATTTCTCCTAAATATGGAGTTCGAACATTTTTAGGCAATCTAAAACCAGATTTACAGCGACACTGATATCCTCCTCGACGAAAACCAAAACCGTGTATTGGTTCACACTCAGTACTTTCATTTCTGCAGCGAGAAGTTCCTGCAAATGCATTTGGACGTGGATTTCCTGGACCGATTGGACATTGGTTGATATCCAGTCTTTCGAAGTCTATTTCCATAACTGAAACAGCAACATATCTGAAATTTAGGAGAAGTAAACAACAATTAATAAGATTTAAATAAAATGGAATCATTTTGCAAATAAAAGTTGAATTTCTTACCTTGCATATTCTATATGCCTCCATCCAGTATGCCTTGGGTTAAAGTCAACAATAGGAGATGTGGCTGAAACAACCCATTTATTTGATCGTTCGCAGTCATAATAAGGTTGAGTCCACGCAACTGGACCTGGAGTATCTGAAGCATGAGGCGGACCATGGAATGTAAAGGTTTCATTGAATCCATTAGCGTGAAATATTTTTGCAGTATAAGTTGTTTTGGAATCATGGCTTTTGGTATTATCTGGCAACCAAAGGTTATACCACTTGTTGATTTTGTAATGCTCATGAGTATAATTATTACTTTGAGAATTTACTTTGACGGCACCTAAATCACTAACTGCAATAGTATTGAGAGTTGAGGTTCCAGAAAGGTGATATGGATCGTTGAAATCATCAGCGCGGAAGGCACGAGGTGCAAACAGAGGCATTGTTTTGTTGAAAAAACCTTTATAAGATGGGGTAAAAGCTCGATCAGGTGCAAAATAAACAGAACTGGCATTAATAAAGCGATTAGCAGCAACATCAGCGATAGACGATAGGAAATAATACATGAAGCCGGGCTCAACATCATCTTCAGCTTTTTGTAGAATGAAACTGAATACAGAAAACACTTATTAGTTTTGAAACTTATTCAAGTTGAACTGAATGGGTGATGAAAGATTAAACTTACCTGTAGAAAAATGCTCGGCTTAGTGCCATATTGTGAACATGAAGTAAGTTGGTACGATTGGGAAAAACTGGATCTGTTCCAAGCCACTTAATATTAGGCACATGGGTAACAGTTGAATTGGGTAAAAAGAGATCATTGATGTCCACTATTCTGCAATTGTCTCGATTAACACGATTCACTTGTTCATTGATAGCATCAAAATTGTCTCTGGATTGCCAGTCAAATTGGCAGTTTGTCAAACGAATCACTGTTAGAAGAAATATGATTCCAGAGAACATAACACAACTCCGCAGTTTGATCATTGCTGGTGACAGTTGAGTAGAAAACTAGGATTGATAAAACTAAAGTAACAAAAAGATGAAATAATGAAATTTAACATAAATAAAAGTTAATTACATGACCAAAAACTAACCAACACCCATGTTAGAAATAGTTTGGTCAAAACATAGCAAGAGAAGTAAAGAAGTAAACAGTCAGTGAAAGAATCTTGTTTCTCTTTCTTTCTTTCCCGCGTCTTTTGAAAATGAAACTTGCTCAGATATTTGAGAAAGTGGATATTTTAATGTGATTATTCAACCGTAAATTAAATGAAAAACTGGGACAATTTACCACAAGTGAACCCAAAATTTATTAATTTTAGTGAATGAGAAAGTCAGTCAATCTGACTTGGAAAACTGGTGCCAAAATGAGCTATTTCATGTGAAGAATTTCCAAATTTCTTCAGTTTGGTAAGATTGCCTTTTTTAATTTCTAATGCACAGATTCACATTTTTGATTCATTATTTTATTGTAAAGTGTTTAAAGTTAACTCTGTTTGTTTTCAAGTGATTATAGCTGTTAAGTCAGATGTTGTGATCATATTTTTCGATGAGCGTTGGTAAACAAACGTCTAAAAAAAGATTACTAGAGCTGCGTGTAAAAAGGATGGAGAGAAAACAGAATAAGGAAGATGAGAATTACGAGGATGAAAACGATAAAGATAAAGATGCTCATCTCATATACCAGACAGTTTTACACCCAACTTCCTAGTAAACAACAGTCATTCCTATTTCATCTCATCTTTACCATCAATCTAGCCTCAATGTTTAAACATCGCTGCTCCACAATCAAGGTGCGTAACGTATAAAAAGCTTCAAACAATAGTATTTCTAATTAACTTGTAATCACCTTTGTTTAATCTATTTATTTCGATTAAGGTCAATGAACAGCGAGGAAACAAGTAGATCTTCTAAACCATCATTGGCTTTGTATCGGCCACCAAATGCTAGATCCAGACATTTATCAAGTAAGTCTATCCAGTTGTTTTGATGTAAATACTCTGCATTTGCATGGCCTGGACAGCTAAACAATTAACAACCTCTATTCTAGATAAGGAAAAACAAATTAACTGCATTGTGCTTTGAATTTTCAAAATCTTGCCATTTCTGGGTAACAATGACATTTAAATTTCCACCATAAGCTTGCTTGGAACTGTGAAACATTTTCCTTATTAACCTGCTCATCATGTTTCACTTGACCTTTCAACTTTTATCGACATGCGACAACATATATGTATTTGGCTGCTAGATTTGCTTTAATACCATCCGTTACCCTGATATTATCTATCAGTCTTTGTCTAAACAATGACAGTCTTCATTTTATTTGCTTATTTATTATAAATAATTTGGTCCATGGCGTCACAAGGAGCATCAACCCTTCAACACATTCAAACATCATCATCATCTTCAACGAAAAAGTCCAATCAAATGCCTATCAAAAGCTCTCTCAAAAGGTCTAAAAGTTTCGGGTCCACTGATTGTAGTCATGGAATTTCTAATCTGATTGATTTTAATTTACCAACGGAACATGTGGTCTTAATCAAAAGAGCCTTGGATAATCCTAATAATTTAATCACAACACAGCTGATGGAGATTGTCAGCATAATATGTTCAAAAGCAATGGAGACTTCAGTAAATAGTTACCGATTAGCAAAAATATGTATTACCATAGCTGATAAGGACAAGAATAATCTATTTCTAGAAGCTCTGATCAACTGTTGCCGTGAATGGTTCAACGAAAGGGACAAATTAATAAAAATGTCGTCAAACTCAACACACCACCCTAAGCAAAGATGGCTGGCTTACATAGCTTTTGTATCAGAACTATACCTAAACCTGAAATCCAAACATCGTCGAGTTAAACTATTGTTATCAGGTGGTAAAGACTCCCCGCAAATTAATGATGGCAATCACTTTCTCGATATCTTACCGGAAGAAAACTCAGACGATGAAGACAATCAGGAAAGACAAGACACTACCGATGAGAAAGATAGAGAAGAACGAGATGATCAATCGAATTATTTGTTTAATTTGAGCTACAAGCAATCACAAAGCCTTGCAATGCTCTTGTATGATTGTTGTCATGCAATTTTAACTTCTCTTCCAACTTCAGGATCAACAGCAATCGATATCGAATGTCTATTGAATGTCCTCAGGTCAGTTGGTCGTTTCATCGAGGAAGATAACGTTCAACGTATGGATAAAATAATGTTCCTCATTAGAGAGACTTATGTTGGACCTTTAGCCACCAAATTATCCACAATGAGCCTCAAATCTCTCCTTGAACTAATTGAGTGTCGATCAAGTCGATGGCAATTCAATCAGGCTCAGCAGATCTACTATTTTCCTTACACCAAACCATCTTAAATGCATTGAACAAAACAAATACTCGAATACGATTTAAAAACGAATCAATTTGGATGGCTCTTGAAGAAATCGCTACTCACGAACGAACGAACAAACAAACATTTAGATTCGGTAAAATTAAATAATGTTGAAACAACGAACCATGTTACAGGGTATAAAGAAAATTCGTGGCGAGGGAAAAAATGTTTCCCCAAGCGCACTAAACTGATGTTGGTTTGTTTATGGATTGAATAAATGTTAAGATTTTTTTGCGCATCTTTGCAACCTCACCTATCACACGGACTTTCTTTACACCCTGTAATCTTTTTTAATAACCAATACAACCTGTTTAAACCTTGGATATTTGAATTAATTGTAATTTATTAAAACTTCATAGATTGACTTATAACTCGTTTGTGAAATTTTCAATTATTTATGTATCTACGATAAGCTCTGTTCATTTTTTCTCAATGACTTTGATTATTCAATATCCAATTGCAAGTCAAAAAATCCAGGGAAACTCGAGTGTCAGCATAAGTGTTCTTTTTCTCTTTGTCAAGTCTTTTCTCTTTTCAGTCGGAGTTGATTATTCAGAATCAACTGATTAATAAATAATGAATTGATAATCATTTTTCCATTTTTTCAAATACTGGCGGCAAGGTTGCTAAAACAAGATTCCAAGCTCCATAGTAACGCTTTTGCGTGAATCAATCGTTTGTGTGAAAAATTTTACTCTCTTTATTTCTGAAGCTAGGCGAGAGTTGAATTGAAATGTTTCTGGTAAACAATTATTACTAATTTGGGTTTAAAAGTAATTTCATCATTTTTGATTATTTTTGATGGGTCATCACTGTCATCACTCTCATCTGCTTTGTCAAATTAACTATGATTTCGAAGATGATGCAAACAAATTCAAATGGAATAATCTATTTGTTAACAGTTTAAAGGAGGTAAGTTATCACTTTTTCCTCCCCCTCCCTCTCTCCTTCATTTCTCCCTTTCCAGTATTTTTCTTGTGTTTTTCCTATCTCCCTTCTATCCTCTCTTACTCTTCTTTCTAATATGATTCTGTCCACGGAAAAAATTTCACACATTTTGCTTACTCTTACTGATTGCAATAATTTCTCCTCTTCTGCAGATTTTATTCTCGGTACATCCTGAATTGGATGCTGCAGATGAAGCCTTATACTTCATTGAATCATTAATATTTAAGCTTTTACGGCTGTTAATCAGTAATAGTCCACGGAATGTGCAAGAGTTGGAAGAAAATGTACTGAAATTGTTTCCTTCTCCTATCGAGAAATGGGCCACTAGCAAGGCGCAAAATGTTCTCCAGGAATGCTATGATGTGCAATGCAATTCTAATTCAACGTCTTCATCATCCACCATAAGTGGAGGTAAAAAGAAAAAATTACTTCTGGTCAACATACCCAACAACAACAACAATAGCATAAATAATAATCGTGATCCTTTAGGTAATTGTCCTTTGAAGACAAAACACAGCATTGAGAAGATGCATGATCTCCTTTCAAAGGAAGTCTTCCCTTATCGCATTGAGATGCCACTGACCATTTACCTTTGCAGTCTGGTCGAATACATTGCTGCTGATGTTCTCAAATTAGCAGGCAATTATGTTAAAAATATACGTCATAGTTTTATTAATGCACAGGATGTCAAGATAGCCATAAATGCAGATAAAGTTCTGATCGATTTGCTCTATGGCGAAGAGGATGATTATGAGAGCAAAGAAATGTCAAACTTGGGAATCATCTGGGAAGAAAGTACAGAAGATGGTACTGATGATGAAGGTATTTCCTATGATATAGTGGCTAAAGAACTGATTCATGAAGAGAAACAATTTTTGCGTGATCTGAACTTAATCATCAAAGTTTTCCGTGAACCTTTTATAAAACTGTTACAAAACTCACCTTCCTCATTGCCAAACACTCCAACCTCACCCACAAGTCAAGAGGATAAGCCATTAATTAGTGAGAAAGACATTGATGATATTTTTTCTAATATCATCGACATCTACGAGTTCAGTGTCAATTTTCTCGGACTTGTTGAAGATGCTATGGAAATGAACGGTGGAGATAACTCTGAAACCATTGGAATCGGAATGTGTTTTGAAGAGATGGCCGAAAATGTTGAATTTGAAGTATTTGAAAAATATACCCTTGATATGCTTCGACAAGACGAAAGTTCACCTGAAACTGTACCAAAAGCTAGACTTGTTACCTTGCTAAAACAACAACCAATAATTAATGTTCTGGATACTGCTGGGCATAAGTTTATTCTTTCTGCCAAGTATATTTTACCAAAATTATTGTTGTGCCCTGTTATCCATTGTATTCACTATTTTGATTACATGAAGTTACTGATGAGCCTTGCAACGACAGAAGCAGACAAAGAGAGCTTCAAACAAACTGAGGGATGTCTAACTCCAATGCAGAAACAAATCAACGAAGCAACTCGTAATCGTAACTTGAAGATTTACGAAGGTTACTTACGCCTCAATCGAAGTAATCAGCGGAGTAAAAACAAAAGAAATATGTTGAACAAAAAGATTTTGGAACTCAAGAGATGTATTGATGGGTTTGATTTTTCTAGTCTTGGCTATGACTGCAATGAGTTTATTATCGATGGATATCTTCAAAAAGTGCGTAAAAATGAAAGAAAAACCCTTGGACGTCATGAAAGTAAACTTTTCTTCAGTGAACGATTTTGTTTTCTGTTTGACTCTGTTTTATTGGCATGTAAACCAATTGCCAAGGAAAATCAAGATTCAGTTCAACGTTACCGACTGAAGGAGAAATTTTTCATCTGCAAGATTGAAATAGTCGAATCTGATCTTGATCAATGTGCATTTGAAATAGTTTCTTCCGCTAAATCACACAATTTTGACTCCAACCGAGGTAGTATTATCTTTTTGGCCAAGAGTATGGAAGAAAAGGATATCTGGGTATCAAATTTATTACTTCTTTCACGTAAAACTATTCTGGAACGTACTTTAGACTCAATATTAGCAGAAGAAGATAAGAAGAATCCTTTACGACTTCCATCACCAAAAGACTATATATTTGCAGAAAAAGATACCGACAATAATATTATTTTCGAGACAAGTTGTAACAACAAAATGTCAATTAAGGGTGCGACACTTAACAAGCTTATCGAAAGGCTAACTTATCATCAACCAACAGATACCATGTTTGGCAAAACTTTCCTAACCACCTATCGTTCATTTTGCTCACCACAACAATTATTATCACTTTTGATTCAAAGGTTTGACATTCCTTTGGATGTGATGGATCGTGAAGGCTGGTCTCGTAATGAGGTGAAAAAATTTAAAAAAGAGTATCTTGAGCCAGTTCAATTTCGTGTAATCAATGTCATTAAACAATGGATTGATGCTCACTTTTATGATTTCGAGCGAGATGATCAACTACTTGAATCGTTAAGAATTTTCCTCAAAGAAAAAGTGTCCAAGGAAAAAAGTAATGTGGTCAAATGGGTCCAAACATTGTCCAATATGATCTCAAGAAAACAGCAAAAGCAATCCAACAAAAATTCCGAAAACAAAATCTTATCTGAAGTACCTCCGCCTATCGAATATTTGCCACCCAATGGTAAAGAGAATTGTGACTTTGAACTGAGCATTATGACTATTCATCCATTGGAATTTGCCAGGCAATTGACTTTGTACGAGTTTGATCTTTATTGTGCTGTCCAACCGTCCGAGTTGATAGGCCTGAAATGGATAAAAGAGGGTAAAGAAATTAATAGTGCTAATCTGCTTAAAATTAGCAGACATTCCAACAATTTCACTTATTGGTTGGAGAGAGAAATCGTTGAAACGGTCAACTTTGAAGAAAGAGTTGCCCTAATGAGCCGAATTATTGATATTATGCAAGTACTTTCAGATCTGAACAATTTTAGTGGAATCATCGAAATAATGTCAGCTTTGGAATCTGCTCATGTTCATCGATTGGAACATACCTTGAATGCTCTCCATCCTAAGCATAAAAAATTGATTGATGAAATGAGAGACTTGAGTACTGACCATTACAAAAAGTATTGTGAACGCCTGAGATCAATTAATCCTCCATGTGTTCCATTTTTTGGTTTATACCAAACCCAAATATTGCATTTTGAAGAAGGCAATAGTGATTATATTGATGAGAAAAAAGGTTTGATTAATTTTAGCAAACGAAGAAAAATTGCTGAGATTACTGCAGAAATTCAAGGTTATCAAAACCAACCATACTGTCTTCTAGTGTGTCCAGAAATTCGTGAATTCTTAGAAAGTCTTAATCCTATCGAGGAGGGAAAAAGTGAAAAGGATTTTAATGATTATTTATACGAACAGTCTCTTTTAATTGAACCCAGAGGATCCAAACAGCCAACCAAAGGTGCAAAAAGATGGCCACGCATTCAAAATCTCAAGTCACCTGGTATTAAACCTTCTTCAGTGTCTCAGAATGCACCTCATCCAACATCATTACCCACATCAACATTTATGGCCAATCATCCACAGAGTACATCATCTTCTAATCCAACTTCACCAACTCTAATTTCACCCAAAACTCCGCCATCAACAACTTCTGATACCTCTGTTTTCGCCAATGTGATCATCGGCAATTTGCCAACTCCTGCACCAACACCTCCGCCAATCATTTCTGCATCAACAATAACACCACCGCCAATACCACCGAGAACTCGAAATTTCCACCAAAGGACTAACTCTGAGTCATCGGTTACAAGTGCAACTGTTTCACCAACAACAACAACTCCTTTAACACCATTCTCATTTAATTTTGCATTAGCCAATCCACCACCGCCACCACCACCTCCTCCTCCACCGCCCAGAGTGCCAAGGCCAAATACCATTCTACAACCACAATCACAACCTCATTTGTCATCAAATTCACTTTCATCTCCTTCATCTGATCATCAAGCTCCACCACCACTTCCACCAAGGGGTATCACATCATCATTATCTTCATCAAATTTTGGTCGAACAACTCTTCCAAGGAGAAATTCAACTGACACACAACCTCATGACAATGTTTCCAATCCATTTCATCGTAGAAACTCTTCCTCTTCATCTACTCATCCACATGCTCAACCTCAATTGCCTCCCAAAACTTATAGAGCCAAAAGATGATTTTTATCAACTTAAATCGTGTAATCATGTCTATTAATTCCTTGATCAGTATATTGTCAATCTTAATTATTGTAAGTATACAGATATTGTAGTATCAATTTGAAGATTTCATTTGGTCAATAAAAAGATTCATTAACACAAGCAAGGAAACAAGAGAACAACGACTATGGTGGAAACAATGATGATTGAACCCAACTTTGATCAATATGATCTTTACTAGTGATTGTATTAAAGTGTATAAAACAAAACAAATCAGACAAAAAAAACCTGAAATAAACATCCAAAATTATGTTATTATAAATTCTAAATGTATATATATTTACTTATATTATCTCCAATAATAAGCATATAAAACAAACTCTGTTGTACAAAATTATCTCAATTTTATTAATTTTCTAAACCAAAAACTATTTCTGTTCATTTTTGAAATGTTAATATTCTGAAAAGCTCTCAAGAAAATATTAAAAACAAGATTAGAAACAAAACAAGAACTTCTTGGTCAGCATCTCTAAGCAAACAGAAGTTGTAATGCATCGATCCATCCTTAGAATCAACACAACGACGACTCTTTGCAAATTCAGTCTAATTGTCATCCTGAAACTCATATAGTCTTGACCTTAATCCCATTGAGAATGACTGCTTAAGATGAAATATCTAAGTCACGGTCAAAAGTCATGGTCAGCAATTTCCATTTGAAAAATATGTTCTAATGGTCAGCAGCTTCTTTAGGAAAATTGCTGTATGATAAAAAACAGGGCTGAAGATGGTTAAAGCAATCATAACAGTGGTTTGCTGTTGTTGATTGAATAATTTAAAATCATTGATGTCAACAATTTTTCCACGATAATTAACTTATCAAAGAGTTAATACGACACTTCATCAGTTAGAAATTAGTCAATTGTGCTCCATTTTTAAACTTTTAGTCCACTTTTGTATCAAATTTTAATTTTCGCCAATATTACTAAAGCATTCAAATAAATGCACAGCTGACAAGCTTATTACTACACTTTGTATGTTAAAACTTGCAAGGTTTTCAAGTCACTCACAGGTTTGTCAGCCATACCACGGCTACAAACGGCTTGTTATGAATCTCTTTAAAGAGATTCTCTTGTACTCTTAACCATCTCTCTTTCTCTCTTTCTCTCTTTCTATCGGTTATCTTGCTTCATCTTATTTTTATTACAATGTGTAAATGACATTAGAAACCTAGTTCCAATATTAATTTTGATCATTTGTTCCATTTACGAGATTCCTATTGTGTGTATTTCCTGGTCTTGGTCGCCTGACTACAAATCATGTTGAAACGTCTGTGTCTTGTGCTGTAACCTGTCATTTTATTTCTTTTTCATGTTTTTTCCTGCTCTCTAGCTAAATTATCTAGACTGATCTTTTACCTTTGATTTCAAGAATTATTTACTTCATTCTATTTACTAAGAGTTGAGTAAGAATACATCTTGATTAGATTTCCATTTACCAAGGTAAACCAGTCCTATCTAAGGCAATAGTTATACAACATTCTGGTTTGATTGTTATTGTGCTAACTTCTTCTACAAAGGAACTTTGAACAGTATTCCAAGCTCCCTTCTTTCAAATCATCATCATACTTGCCCAACCTTTTCTTTTTTCTTGTTTTCTTTTTCATTTCTCCGTTTATTTTCACATCTCAAATAAACAACTGTAAGTCATTTTCAATTTTTTAAGTGCTTATAGTTTGTTACATTCCAAGTTAGCTTCCTAGTTTGCTGCATTGTATGTGTTAACATGAATCGCAGTAATTGTCTGTTTAAAATAGGCTCGAACTTAGTTGCACAGCAGCCACTTCGGACGCTTCGGACTTCCAACCACTTACTGCAAAATCACGACACAAATGACTTTGATTTACCGTAAGTTTCCTTCGTAAAGCGAATTGACAATTTTGAATTCAATATCAATCATTTATCATCTCTTTTCAGCCCTTACGTCCATCAAAAACTGTCGTATGCCTATGGACGAAGTAGCAAGCCATTCAGTATCGAAACTCTTCCTCAAATACTCGAGAAACGAGCTGCTGAAGGTAAACAAAATCTATTTTATTATTATTTTTATTAAGTAATCGAAAAAACAATTACCGTAGTTTATGATATTCAATGGGTTCAAAGATGATACTGATATACGTTTACGGGTACTTGGCAGTAAAGTGAAACTTGTGAGATTATTTGGTTCTATCAACCCTTCAATCTATCCTCATAAAAAGCTCTCAATAATGCCACTATTCATTTCGTTATCAAAATAAATCAGTGACTTCATCAATTTCATAAATTTTTCTTTTTTCGATATTGCTGAACTAGTAAATAATAATCACTAATTTTAAGAATTTCTCATTAACAGATGGAAGCCGAGTACTGTTTACACTACACCATGAAGAGAAAACCCTTACCTATGCAATGCTTCGTGAACAAGCATCTCGACTTGCTTCAATCTTACATCACAAAATTGGTAAAGTAATACAGCATTATAGCATTATACTCTTACTGACTCTCGGTGATTCACGACAAGCTCCCATCATGTTTAGATGACTTCTCAAAATTTTAAGCCAGTCTAAACATTTTGGAAGCTAGTCTAAAGTTATCGAGAGTTGTTGTTGAGAATTTCGACGATAAATTCGGGTCATTCTTAATTAATTGACTTTCATTGATGCATCCTTTTTAATAGGTATTGCAAAAGGAGATATGATCGGCTTATGGTCTTTAAACACTGCTAATTGGATAATAGTTAAATTAGCTGCAGACTTTCTGGGGGCTGTTCTGGTAACAATCAATCCTTATTACAAGGTTGACGAGCTCGCTTATTTAGTCCAAAAATCCCAATGTAAAATACTTTTCATGCCTGGCGAGGAATCAGTCCAACTGAGTTACAATAATTTTACTGAAGTTGTTCAAGATGAAAGTTTTCTTCAGCAAGTATCTCAGGTAAAATTTTTCAAACTAGAACTTATTACCTACAGATTCTAACTTTATTTTTCAATCTATTCGTAATCCTTCAGACTAAATTAGGTCATTTCTTTCTTATTGACGGAGTAAGGAAACAAAGTAAATATGGCAAATATCCAGTCCATACATTTGAAGATTTTCCTGTTTCACAATCATATCCACCAATTGATTTTTATCAGGATCCTGATGACCCGTCTTGTCTCATGTTCACTTCAGTGAGTTTCAACCGTCATAATAACTTAAATGATGTTATAGATATTATCAAGCTTGTCATAAACCCTTCTACGGATCATTAATCTTAATATGCTCACCAAGTTCGTCCTTGCTCAATCTGGATGTCTTACGTGGAATCATTGTAATCTTTTTATTGGTTCATAAAAGGCTCGATGAACGATGTGAATAATTTCATCAAGATCATGTTCAAATGATGGGATTATTAATACAAAACAGAAGATTACTAATTTACAAAAACAATTGACAAGTGATTTTTGTCGTCAGATAGTTCCAGTGTCGTTATCAAAAATGTCAAGAATAATTGAATTTAATCTTATCTATTTCATGAAACTAATTTTTACCTCTTTTTGTTATTTCAGGGAACGACTGGTAAACCAAAAGGTGCTCTTTTATCCTCTTTTAGCATGTTAAACGATTGCGATTTTGCCTCAGATCGACTTGGTTTGCATGATGATACTGTCAAAATTTGTTGTCCTCTTCCTTTCTTCCATTCTTACGCATTCACACATGGCTTATATACATCTTTAGTACGCAACCATCCAGTTGGTACGAAATAATGATTCTTAATTATTCAATATACCACAAACTCATTTTATCACTTATCTTTAATAGTTGTGACAGATTATAAATTTGATGTAAGGTCAGTCTCCGAATCTATAAAGAAATACGAATGCACAGTATTTTTATCCACACCAACAATGGTGATTGATTTGATGGCATACATCGGTTCAAAGGGTATAAGTTTAGATTCTTTATCAAGTAAGTATTCAATTTTTCAGTTAATGATTATGAATCTCGATTAATTTACTCTTTTGACTTGCTTTCAGCACTTTGTTTAGGGGGCGCAGTTTTGGATCCTGATATAGTCAGGCAGATTAAAACGAAAATACCAAGTGTTACTACTGTTTTGAATGGTTATGGAAGCACTGAGCTGAGTATGTCTCATTTTTTAAGAATTATATTCTTGACTTAATTCTAATGTTTTTCAAACGCTTTTATTTTAGGTCCTGCGACAACTTTATGCAGTTGGAATGATGACCCTGAAAAAATTAAGTCAACTGTTGGCAGACCCTTACCATATGTCGAAGTGAAAATCGTTGATCCTAAAACAACTAAGATCATGCCTCATCATGAAAAAGGTGAGTGGATCAGACCATGGTGAATTTGTGTTTCGATCCTTAATCGATGATTGATATCTGAATGATGATCTGATGATCTCTGAATCAGGTGAAATTTGGGTTCGTGGTTTCAATGTTATGCAGAAATATTTTGATGATGAAGAAAAAACACGAGAATCGATTACCTCTGGTGGTTGGTATCAAACTGGGTACGTTTAAAATTAAAACAATTTACTTTTCATTTTTATTAATATTGATCTGCTCTTCATCAACAGTGACATAGGCATAATGGATGAAGCCGGTTACCTTAAAATTGCTGGAAGAATCAAGGAGATGTTGATCCGAGGTGGTGAAAATATTTATCCTCAAGAAGTTGAGAATGCTCTTATGAGTCATCCTGCAATTAAAGAAGCCTATGTGAGTCAATAAAACAATTTTCTGGGACTTCAGTAATCCCTCGATTTTTTTGCAAAAGGAGTTGCTATGAGCGGTGATTGTTTCATTAGTCACTTGTATAACATCTTCTAATGATGCAAATTTTTTCATGAAAGATTAGCAATAGGAAAATAAAATCCAAAATTCAAGAAGTGAATATAATTCAAGCTATCTGTCAGTTTTTGCAAAAAAATCGAGGGATTACAGTATGAAACACCGAAATTTTTGCAAGTATCCGTCAGATTGCAATGTGATATAATTTTGTTTTTATTTATGAATTAGGTTTTTGGTATTCCTGATGAACGTGTTGGTGAAGAAATTTGTACATGGATCAGTTTAGACCAAAACGAGCCCGAAGTAGCTCCTAAAGAAGTTCGAGAATTTTTAAAAGGAAAAGTAAGATATTTAATTTCTTGACTATATATTAATCAATATTAATCCGATCGTTTCCATTCTTTTTTTCACAGTTAACTTATTTCAAAATACCTAAACATGTATTTATAGTTAAGGAGTTTCCTAAACTTTCAACTATCAAAGTTTCAAAGCTCGAAATGAAGAAACAGACGATTGAAATGTTGAAGGATTCAAACAAGTCTTAAATCAACTTCGTGCCAATCTTTTTTTCTTCCTAACTTGGAATCTGTAAATCATTGCTCAAAAGCCGGAAATTTAAATGGACAATTATTTTACTCAAAGACAATTCAAAAAACATTGGACACTCGAAAGCATAATTATAATTGTCTTGATTGGCCATATTTTAAAAAATATTTTGTTATTCATTTTCGATTTATTAAAAATTACTTTCTTTCTGGTCTCCCAGTTAGATTGTAAAAGTTATTGTATTTAAATTGGATCACATTGTCTCAAGTAAATCTCTAAGTAAAGTGACATAAGTTAATACAGCTAGAGATTTGAAGAGAGAAGAAGTCGGCTCACAGGGTTATCCTTACCAAGTTGCAAAGGTTTTCCAAGTCACTCACAGGTTTGTCAGCCATACCACGGCTACAAACGGCTTGTTTTGAATCTTTTTGAAGAGATTCTCTTGTACTCTTAACCATTTCTCTTTCTCTCTTTCTATCGGTTATCTGTCCACACTACACCATGAAAAGAAAACTCTTACCTATTCAATGCTTCGTGAACAAGCAGCTTCAATCTTACATCACAAAATTGGTAAAGTAATACAGCATCTGATAATACAACGCAGATTCAAGCTACCTGTCAGTTTTTGCAAAAAAATCGAGGGATTACAGTATGGATAATTAAATAGTATGAATGATCAAATCAAATTATGATTTCTAATGAATGTTTTCCCTCTTTTTTGTAGAGCTTCAACAACTTAAGGCTTTACCCATCTCCAGTCAAAATTGTTGAGGTTGGACCTCGAGATGGATTACAGAATGAGAAAAAAGTGATCGAAACGTCTACAAAAGTGGATTTAATCAACAGGTTGAACAATTGTGGTTTGAAGGTGATTGAAGTTACTTCATTCGTCTCACCAAAATGGGTACCTCAGATGGCTGATAATAAACAAGTGTACAGTCAAATTGAAAAGAAACATGATGTGAGTTATCCTGTTTTGGTGCCAAATCTGAATGGATTGGAAAATGCGATCAAATCTGGTGTCAAAGAGATTGCTGTTTTCTCTGCCGCTACAGAAGCTTTCTCAAAGTAGGTCCACTCAATGAGCAATTTTCCGCTTTCAACAATCATCCGATAAAGCAAAAACACGTGAAATCTGGATGCTGATTTTGCTGCAGCTAATACATGTATAAATTGTTTTCTGGACAGTAACAATACTAATTGCTCTATCGAAGAGGGTTTTATTCGAGTTGAAGAAATAATGAAAGTGGCATTGAAAGCAGGCCTTAATGTCAGAGGGTTAGTATTTAAAAATTTAGCATGATATTCGTATCATGACAGATTCTTAATTTAAACTAATGATTTTCATTTTTTCTAGATATTTGTCTTGTGTCATTGGCTGTCCATATGAAGGTCAAGTTGATCCCGACAAGGTTACTCAATATGCACAACGATTGCATGAAATGGGATGTTATGAAGTTTGTCTTGGAGATACAATCGGTGTTGGAAATCCCGGGACAATGGAAAGGTTATTAGAAAAAGTAACTCGTCGCATTCCGTTGGATTGTTTAGCTCTTCATTGCCATGATACTTTTGGAATGGCTTTGGCCAATATCTATACAGCTCTCCAATTTGGTATTTCAACATTTGACTCGTCAATCGCCGGTCTCGGTGGATGTCCATACGCTCCAGGTGCCACTGGAAATGTAGCCACGGAAGATTTAGTGTACATGCTTCATGGTATGGGCATTGAAACTGGAGTCAATTTTGATAATCTTGTTGAAACAAGTTCATTCATCTGCTCTATCCTCGGTCGTGAATCTGCATCCAGAGTAGTGAGAGCTTTACGTGCCAAAAATTCCAAATGCTTAGTTTAGACCAAAACGAGCCCGAATTAACTCCTAAAGAAGTTCGAGAATTTTTAAAAGGAAAAGTAAGATATTTAATTTCTTGACTATATATTAATTAATATTAATCCGAACGTTTCCATTCTTTTTTTTACAGTTAACTTATTTCAAAATACCTAAACATGTGAAGAAACAGACAATTCAAAAAACATTGGACACTCGAAAGCATAATTATAATTGTCTTGATTGGCCATATTTTAAATAATATTTTGTTTTCCATTTTCGCTTTATTAAAAATTATTTTCTTTCTGGTCTCCCAGTTAGATTGTAAAAGTTATTGTATTTAAATTGGATCACACTGTCTCAAGTAAATCTATAGTTTTATCTGTTAAAATGATCAGCATTGCATGAAAAGAGGTTAAGTAAAGATTAGCGAAGATTAACAAATCCTAAGCAAAACTTGAACAAAAGCTCGACTGAGATTATAACATTTCTTGGTTAACTGGAATTCAGAAGCTTTCGTCTGAAAATTCAATTATAGTTGGGCAATTTTGCGAATAATCTCTTTCTAAATGGATATTTTGATTTGACTATCAATATAATCGCCAATCGTTTCATGGATTTGGTTTGGCTCAAAATATTTTATTTTTAACTGATTTTCAAAGTTTTCTCGTTCATTTTCCATGGTAAACTATTGGAGAAATTGAAACGAAGTTTGATTGAAAATTAATTCTCACTGGATAAGACTCACAATATGAAAAACTAGGTGGCTGTTATTTCTTCTTGATGTTCAACTTGAGATTAAAAATTCCCTAACTTATCTTTACAATCTTAGGATATTCAACTAATATCAAATGATAACTTCACCCCTGTCAGTACAATGGCAATTTCCTTGAGAGGTTGAATATCATCATGTAAACATGTGACTCGAAAAAGTGTTTCCTGGATTTCTTTGTTTCTTAGCTATTATCACTCACTATTGCATTTTATTTCCTCATTCTTTTCATTTCTCAATCAAATTATGAAACTATTATGCATAAATAAATATTTCTATGTTTATTGTGATGGTCACCCAATAAAATCATTTTTATCGGAGCGTAGTGAAACGAAGTGAAGATTTTAACTCAGCTTAGCCATTTTGAAAAACCACTTTTTGATTTCTTTCGTCACGGCTAGCGCCTAAATGACTTGTCCGAATATCTTCAAATTTTGTATAGAATGTTAAAAACTTGTGAAGATGAATTGATTGGACCATCGCGGCCATCGGAGGTCATTTTTCGGGATTTTGATCTTTGACCTTTAGAGGTCATTTAAAGGTCGTTTGAAATTCTTTGATCTATATTGACAACTCTCATAAATATTCGTCATTACAACACTAATAGTAATCGAAATTGGGCCCAAATCACGAAAAAATCAAAATTTTGTGCAAATGCAATTTTTTGCAACTATGATATCTCATTAACAAATCCGCTTAGCAACTTGATATTTGAAGCATGATTAAGAGCATTTGGAAGAGTTGAAACTTAATCATGGGCATCAAAGGTCATTTTTCGGGATTTCGACTTTTGGCCTTCAGAGCTCTTTTGAAGGCCTTGATGTAATTTGAAGACTCTAATATACTAGATATACTGGGTGACCAGAAATAAGGGGTGACATTTTTTGAATTTTGAGCCAAACCTTTGGTGTGGTGACCTCTAGATTTTTTTGCCATACTTAAGGGATCAAAGGAATTTACTTGAAAAGAAAAAAAAATTTTTGTAAAATTTTGCCAAAAATGGATCTTTTGACCGACCAGCAAAAAGCCTTTTTTGTGAAATGTAGATACAGCCATTTTCTATGTTTTAACATGTAAATATGTGTAAAATGTGTTATGATCAATCAGAAAATGCAGTTATTTTCAATGAAAAAATTTTCATGTTCAGATTAAAAACAAATCACTTCGATTTTCAGTTAAATTGACCGCTTTCTGTGACCGCTTGGGTCCGAGATCTGAAACTCATTTTTTACCGGTAAAACTCATGGGTAAACATGTTGAGTCAGCCAATTTTTTCGGATTTAACTAAAACGCGAAGTGATCTGTTTTTGATCTGAACAGAGAATTTTTCATTGAAATAACTTCATTTTCTGGTTAATCAGCGAAATTTACACCAGGAAAATGAGTTTCATGAAAAATTCTTGTTTCATTATTGAAAAAAAGGCGATCGAAGTTTCAACTTTGACCTCGATTTTATCGAAAACTGGCGACTCAAACAAAATTTCAATAGCACTAATAGACTCAGTTTTCATGCCCTAATACCTCACTAAGTCTTAACTCTTAACGGTGAAATCGAAACTTTTGGCCATTTCCCTTTGTTACTAACGCTCCGATATTGGCGAACGATCGTCTGGCCTAGTTAATTCCATGATTACTGATCAGTTGACTTGCCTATTGAAGCTTGGCTTGGGAAGTGATAACTCGTCATTTTGATGTTAACGAAAACTGGAAAAGGGTAATTTTGTTAATTTAATTGATTGGCGAATTAAATATTCGTTTCGCTTCATTGAGTCCTTCTTGTAATCTAAAAACCACCTTGAAAATTTTCAATTCAATAACCAGTTTTCAAATTTTGGCAGAAACACACGTTTCCTACATTAACGAAAAAATTGTCCCATATTTAACTTTGATTTTGAATTTGCCAATGTTTGTTGTTTTCCTTGAAAACTTGTCCAATTTGATTGTCAACCGCAAGTCAAAAGTAAATTATCATTAACTTAAATTAAGGCTCACTGTTGAGTTAAATAGCAGGAAAATCATCTGAAGAATTATGTGATTATGGAAATACGAACCATCAACAAACAGATATAACCTGTAAAGAAGTAAAATTTAATTTAAAATTACTGAGAGAAGCTAAATATTATTTTAAAAGTATTATTACCTTATTTCCTAGTTGATGTGTCTTTTGCATCTTATAGCTCCAACTGGTCAGTCTAAATATATCAGAAACAACAATAAAAATTATAGACTTGTACCTATTAACCTATTAGTACTTACATTTGTTAGTCATTAAAATCACTACAAGGAAATTTCAGGTTACAATAAAAATTACTTTTGGTGCTTTCATTGAATTATGTTTTATACAAAATTTTAACTTTCTTTTTATCCAATAAGATCATAACGACTATCTAATTGTTAATATTGACAGGTTCACTACACATTGTTAACCACACCGAGCTCGCATGATTCCTTCATCATACCTCAGCTTACTTCATTCTCGTTCTAAGATTGTCATTATCAAGTTCACTTTATCATCAATGTCGTCATCTTTAACCACCCAAATAGCAACATGATCATCATGCTGTCTTTTTATCTTAACCATTTGTCCTCTTCTCTATCATCTTATCCATTATTTACTTTTTTTGCAATCAAAGAGTAACAACTCTTAGATCCAAAGCCATTGATAGTAGCAGCCTTTTTCCTTGTTCATCGCCTTGTTAACTTGTCTTCATCGGGGTTTATTGCATTCACATAATCATGATCTTTGACATATTTCCTTTTACCTTACCATTCACATCTAATCTGCCATCAACATCTGAGTCTTCATCCATGACAATCCATGGAATCGCATCAAATCTTTCTACAGTATCCAGCTACGGCAAAGTCATTCCCAATTCAATGATGACCAATATCTTGCAACTATCAATATTGACTGGTAAACTTGAATTGATTGCTCCAAAGTATGATAGACCGGGATTCAAGAAAGCAAATGGTTTCCGAAGTATTGTAAAGGTGATCAATAAATTTGTCCCAACTCTGCTTGAAATTACTCAAATTACTCAAATGGATTCTCCAGCAAACATCCAAAGATTCATTAGTGCATCGAAAGAGAATAATTTTCCCTCTAAATGTGTCAACGCAGCCAATAGTGTCCTCACCATCCTCATTGAACTATGTGATATGGCAATCGATTGTCATAATAATTGGTCACTGGTAAAAGATACTAAACAGAAATTCCTTTGGCTCCAACGCACCTATCGTTATACACATGATCGATTATCAACTCATTTACAACAATATTGGGCTTATCATCCAGTTTTCTGGTACGAATCGACGATTCGTAAATTACTTACTTTGACAACTTGTACATTTGCTGCTTTGAGTAAACCACCAAATTCATTGACCGCTTTATTGTCAAATGAAGAACGAGGTGAGAGACTAACGTCAATTGTTTGGAAAGGGGATCCATTTTACCAGACAGGCATAATCAATCTAGTTGACAATCCCTTAACATCATCTATTAGTAGATTGTTTCTAAAATATCACAAAATTACAGCCAAAAATATAAATATTAAAAGACAAAAAAACTGGTTTATACCATCTGATGGAGGATCAGTAACCAGGGTCCATGACATTTCTTCCTTAAGAGATGGTCCCTTACGGGATACCGTTAAGCTGCGGCTTTATCAAGCTGATAGTGTTACTGCAAGTGGAACTGTTATAATCCAAATTCAAGGTGGCGGTTTCATGGTCGATGCTCATACTGTTCATACTAGTTATCTTAAATCATGGTTACCTCAATTGGCAGGTGCAATAGTACTCAATATTGACTATAGTTTGAATGTACGCTATCCAGTTGCCTTGCAAGAAATTGTTGACACTCTGTTATGGTTGACTAGTCCAAAGACTCTTAATGATGTTGCATCAACTCTTCAAATTATTCCAACTTCAATTGTAATTCTTGGAGATTCATGTGGTGGTTATTTAGGATTGGCATCTTGTGCAGTATTACGTGACATTCAGGACCTGGCTCCAGATGAAATTACAATTCTACCCGAATCAATTGTTTGTATATCACCGGTCATGGCACCTGTTAATCTTAATTATTCACCGTCTCTTTTACTATCAATTCTCGATCCATTTTTATGTCCAGCTATAAATCTCCAAGTACTTTCTCTTTACTCATCTGGAATCACGCTTGACTCTGAATGTCATTCTACTTTGGATGCAACCACTTCGTCTTCACAAGCACCCATGTCTTCTGGCTATGTTGAAGAATCACTTTGGTTTACAATAAATAGGTGTATGTTCAATAAGTACCCTTGTTGGTTTGATTGTGATCCTGTCGTTTTTGAAAAGAGATTGATCAAAATGACAGATAAACTATTCAGTCCATACATATCAATTTTAACTTCATATGATTTAACTCGACTGTCTTCTGATTTGCGGATTCATTTGATTACTTCTGAGCTGGATGTTCAATTGGATAGTGCATTTGAATTTGAGCGAGTTTGGGAAGGAAAAATTACAATTGATGTAGTTGAGGATTTACCGCACGGATTTTATGCATTTGCACCTTTCTCCAATGCTGCTAAAATTGCTTCACAAGTTTGTTTGGATCGATTGAAACAAGCTATTGGTTTACAAGCACAGAGCACAGAGTGCGATATTAATTTCTGATGTTAGCTTGAGAGCATAAAGCTCAAATTGACAGCTGAACGCCAATTGTCTTTCGTATTTATATTTGCTTATATGACTTGTGCATAGAAAATCATGTAATAACTTGAAACTCAGCCTTATTACTCAAGCTCAATTTTGTTACTTATCAAGTTTTTGAAAAAAACACAAAGAAGCGAATTGAAGATTGTCTAAAAAATGCTTATATTATTAGTGTGATCCGTATGAAACTAAAATTTTAATTTTCTAGTGTTGATAAAATTTATGAATACTTTTTGGTAATTCAAAAAAACTTCAGATTCATTTTTCAAACTGAACCTTTACTAGCCTATTCAGAACGAAGTGAAGTGGAATCAATTTTCTGTTTCTGTGCTTCCTTGTCAATTCTTTGAGCAGTAGTTTATTCTAGCGTTATTATTTTTTCGATAACTATCATGCCATAATGTTTTGTTCAATATTCTGGTTCCGTTTAGTCATAATTCGTAAAGCGTCCGATTTGATGATTTTTCATTATTTCTCAACTTAAACAAAAAGAGTATTGCATTGCTGTGAATCTTCATTCGCGTTGCTGTGTTAACGATCTATTATTATATCATTCAGGAAGGTAATAAAATTCATAAATCGATGGCTAATTGGGAAAAATTGAACTTTCATTTCATGTAGAATAATTAATGGTATTAGCTAGACAACATATAAAACAAGTCGACAGCTAAACACCCGTCTTTCGTACTTATTTATACTTATTTATACTTATATTTTCTTGTAATGACAATTATAAATATTGTATATGAAAGGGATCAATGAAATTTTTTTCGATTCGATTAAATTGACGAATATTTTACTCTGCAAAAATATTCAAAGAAGCTCGAATTCATTGTAAAGACTGTATCTTTAATGGCTTACTTGAGCAACACACAGTGGAGTGGAATTTTTGTCCCTCTTTTTTTCAAATTCAAACTGTTCTTGTTCTCAGTTTTAAGATTTAATATTTTTTGTTCTTTTTGCATGGAAATCGTTCTTCTCGTTTGTCTAGAGTTCTTTAAAAATCGAAACAATAAAACACTAAATCAACATGAAAATCAAATAACGAGAAGCTTCTACATAAAATTCTCGTTAGTTTAAATTGAATTGTTTTGAATGAATTTTAATTATTTGATTGATCTAACAAAAAATCACGATTGATATCTAAGTTAATCTGCAAAACAGGTTGAAATCATCAAACAATTATGCAAAAACGAACAAACAGTCAAAACAATGCCACAAAGATGACATTGTTTTGACACACGTAAAACTTGACCAGAAGTTTTTACTTGAAAATTTTATCGAAAATAATTATTAAATTGTTTAACTGAGTCAAGCGATTAAGCAAATCAAGATGGCGCCAAAGGCTGAAAAACATTAGTGTTCATTGACTGGGTGGCAACAATTATAACTTTTTCATTCACTTCTGGTTTATGAGTCTTGAAACTTGAAAAATCGTCGGTTTATATCGAAAAAACATTAACACGTCCAATACTCTCTTGATCGTCTAGTATAAGCATTTTGATTTTAAATTTAAGTGTGACAAGATGGATTCATTAGAAAATGATGACCAACTAACAATAGTTAATCGGTCCACGGAACATCGTATAAGTAAGAAACTAATCCGTAAAATACCTTATTTTGAAAAGATGCTGAGCCATAATTTAAAGGAATCAAAGGAAAATAAAGTTGAACTGGATTTTGATGAACAAACCTTCCAAATAATTTTTGATTGGGCTGCAAGCAACTATAATTTTATTATGATCGAGATGGATTACATAATGGGTTTGTGCGAGTTAGCTGATTATTTTGGTCTGGATTGGATTTCAAAACAGTGTATTACCTATTTTGATGATAACTTTTCAATTGAACACCTTCCCTTTGTTATTCCTAAAATAAATGTTACATCTAAATGTATAAACTCTGGTGCTCTCAATGCTTTCATCTGCCGTTATTTCTTGAAGCTAGCAAACACAATTTTTTGGTTTGAATATCCTATTGAAACGATTGAATACATTTGTGCTTTGGATCTGATGATTTATTCAGAATATCAAGTATTCGAAGTAATCATGAGATGGATCAATATCAAGGCGGACTCAAGAAAGTGCCATCTCGAAGGATTGTTAAAGCTAGTTAGATGGTGCCATTTAAACGAGGAAGATTTATCCAAAATAAAAGAAAACGAATTGTTAAAATCTTCAGGTCTTGAGCCAATATTTTGTGCTCCTCGAAAGGTTAATTGTGATTGTATCTTCAATAGAACCAAGCAAAACTTTTTCATCATGATTGAAGAGCTGGATAGTAGAGGTTTACAAATAAATGTACTTGACAACAACTTTAAGCAACTGGTTAGTCAAGTCATCCAAGAAGATGCGTCGATTTCTTCAAACCTTTTCCATGACGAACATATTTCTGATATTACTTATAATTCCGGAATGACTGCAATTCGAATAGACTGGAAACAAAATAAATATAAGTATATTGCACCTTTTGTGTCTTATATTCAAGTGAAAAAATGGCTCACTAAGTTGCAACAGTAAGTTATTATTACTATTAATTTAAAATCTTGACTTTAATTTTCAACTAATCTCTCTATCATACATGTGTTTGTATCAATTTCTTTATTTATCATATATGAAAATGAATTCTTATTACAAGGGAATCGCCCTTGCTTGTAAGATCGTTTTCAATTTTTTCCGGGCTTATAGTAGAGGTCATAGAATAATTATTTTTTGCTTTTGTTCCGTTAGTGCGCGATTAATGATATTCAGGTATTGAATTAAAGAAAGTAATACATTGCACTGCAATGATTGCAGTCACTGAGAAGGCCGCCGGCTTTTTTCCACCACATCCACCAAATCAAACATCATCACTTTTCAAAGAGACTTTTCTCAACAAAATTGTCCACCAAACTGTCAACCACTTTAGAGTGACTTTTTGTCACCACATTTTCCAACAATTTTTTATAAGATTATCCACCACCCAAATCATACCGAATTGTTGATCACATTTGGGGTATGATGGCGATTAATAGTGGATGTGTTAGATTGAGTGGTGGGCAATACGGTGGAAAAAAGCCAGTCCCCTGAGAAGTACTACAAAATACTACTGTAATTATTAAGAAGTATTATTAATAATTCATTAAACAAATATGCAAAATGAAAGTATCTCAATGAAAAAGTGAAAGACAGTGACAAAAATGAAAAGGTTATTATTTTTGATGCTGTGTCTGACAATATATAACTGTGAATATGTAACTCAATTTCTTGTAAAAGGGGTATGAAAAAAGTTATCACATAAAAGTGAATTTATAATTTTTCAACAGAATTTATAAAAGCCCAAAAAAAATTGAAAATGATGCACTTCCCCTGCTAGTGTCAACACTTATATTGATATTCTTTTAACACTATTATTACTGCAGAGGAGACCCTTTTACCGCGAATCACGGGCTGCCAGGTGAAATTCGAAATGGCTTTTTACTGCTAGAAGCGGCTAAACATTTTATTCCGATTTACATCGAGAATTCGTGTTTGCGTCTTCTTTCAGGGACAATCTACGAAAATTATAAAGATTTTCATCAAATATCCCAATACAAAGCAACTCTTGTGGATAATAGGATTTACTTGTTGTCAGATGGAAATTTATGCGAATACGTATTTGCGCAATCTACATTCTTCCGTCTTGATAATGTCAAACTGAATTGGAGCCATCGGATTCAGGAATTCAGATTCGAATATTCATTGTTAACATCAAGTCCAGCGGGTGATAAAATTATTTTGATTGATAAATACACAAAAAATTATATTTGTATCGACCTCAATACTAAAAGAAAGTCTAAGGGTCGTATGATATCTTATTGCTATGCTGATGGCCAAAAGGAATCCAAAACGCTGTTAACTTTGACTTCAGCTTTTCTCCCGCTAACCACCATTAGAACTTGCTTGAACTCCAAATCTAACTCAGATAAATAGTCAATTGAATAAAATTTTTCATGAACTGAGCAAAGCTATAAAATTGGCTGAAATAATTACTTATTTCGTTAAACTAAACTTATAATCTGAGTTTTACTAATTTTACAAAAAAAATCATTTAAACTTATCTTCGTCTTGTATTCAAATCAAAATTCAGTTATTTTAATTAAATAAGTCAGATTATTAATTAATTCATATGTATTGAGTTGTTATGTATCATATGGCGTATTTATTTGACCAGACATTTCGTTTGGTCAATCCAATTTAATTCGGATTTTAACGTTACATTTAAAAATATATCAAAAACAATTTTTGAATTGGATGTTCAAGTTTAGACTCTGAATATACCGTCAAAATCTGATTCAAGTTATTCAAGAATCTATTGAAACTCGATAAAAACTTTACCCAACTTTTGCTTTCATATTTGAATTATATTTACTTGTGACTTTTCGTTGAGATTTAGAAGCTTGTTGAAATGATGTAATTAAAAACCAATTATTGATTAAAATCACATTACAAATTTCTCATGAATAAGCTTCTCACGAATTTGTTAAGTCAATTTGATTAGCGTTACAAATTGGTGTAATTTACCAATCATAGTTTTACGAGGCTGGAAGCCAATTATCAATCCTCAAGTCCAAGCAAATTTTAATAAAGGAAACAGTTATCTTGCTGCAATCATCATTTGCTTTCTCACTGTACATGATTAACCCTTCATCACGCTGTTTACATTCAACAATTCATCTCTCCGTTTGGTTCCTTGACTTGCCTGATGAAATGATTCCCCTACATTTGTATTTACATTTGTAAAGTCAATCAATAATGCCAATCGAATTACATGATTCTTCAAGCTTCTCACCAATTGGTTAAGTAAATCTAATTAGCCCAACAACTCAATGTTAGATGTATCAGATTTTCTAATAGTTTTACGAAGTTGAAAACCAATTAGCAATTTTTAATTAAGGCAACAATTATCTTGAGATGTGAAATGATGATGAGAAAAAAACACAGCTTGTAATCATGAGTGCAAAGTACACAGGAATCGGTTTTAGTTCGAGCATGAAAAATTCCAAGGAAGAATCCTTGAGATATTCTTTAATCAACTACCGTATTTCAGGTCGTTTATTTATCTGATAAATTATTTGATGATTTCATCAGCAATTAGCAATGGCGATTTTAACGTATGTGTAAAAACACCAAAGAGTAGAAAAAAAATTTCTCTTGGATTACTCGACAATTTTTCATTATAAGAGGTTTTCTAATTGCTTGTGGCATTTGCTTCTTCATAGGAAAAGTGAAAGCTTGGAAACACTGCAATTGTTTCACAAATTATTTGTTAAGTAATATCTTCTACAGACTGATTGGGTGGTTTATTTTACTACTAGAGCCTAAAATAATTGATGAAAACCAAAACCAGGCCGATCTATGATATGGTGTTCAGCTGATACTGCTTTTGATAAACGGATTGATTCCTTGCATCATGTTCTTGAAAGGTACTTGAAACTATCATACAAATAACAACAGAATCAAGGATACAGTTAAAGTGGTCTCAAGAGTTACAACACAAGTTACTTTGTTAGAGTCAACTTACAGTGCCACACTCACCTAACTTAATTTGGGTTTGTATAATCCTTTGACTTACTTGGTATATGGGTATTTTAACAAGTAAATCATTTACTGTAGTGCTGGGCGATTATATCGATAAAATCGATAATTATCGATATTTGCTGGCTGTAGCGATCATCGATTACCAAAAGAAAACATCGATATTTCTTTACTTTTTCAATCTTCTGCTGCCATACTCATTTTAAAGTGTTTTTTAGATTTTTTGGTGGTTTTTTTGGTCTTTTTTTTCAGTTGTTTTTTTCAGTTGTTTTTTTAACTTTAAGTTATGCCATCCGAAGCATGGAAATACTTCACCAAGTTAACATTTGAAACAGCGATTTGCAAAGAATGTTCGGCATCAATCAAGAGCTGTGGAAATACAACAAACTTGATGGCCCATCTAAGATCAAAACATCCTATGGTTATTAAGGTGAATGAAGATATACCGAGCAAGCAGCCCAAAATTAATGATTGTATTTCTGAAATAAACTCAATAAAAAGTAAGTGTATTTATATATTTCTATTTTGGGTATACTCGGATCTAATGTTTTTTTTTGTTATTTTCAGGTGGTGCTAAGGCAAAAATTATTGAAGATGCACTTGTATGGTACATAAGCAACAACTTTCAAGCATTTAATATTGTTGAAGATCTTGAATTTAGGAGACTATTTAAAGTGATAATTCCTAGTTTTTCAATGCCATCGAGGAAAAAAATTTCTGGTGCGACTTTTAAAATGTACCAAAATAAAAAAGAACTAGTTACCACCCATTTAAAAACCATCAATTATATCAGTATTACTACTGATTTATGGACTGATGGTTACAATTCTAAGTCATATATTGGAGTCACTGGTCATTTTATTGATAATTATCGATGCACATCTTTATGTTTGGCTGTCAAAGATATGGAAGTGGCACATACAACCAACAATATTGTAACTAATATTTTGGAAATATTATGTGACTTTGAAATTCCAACTGATAAATTGACAACAATTGTAACTGATGGTGCCGCCAATGTAACCAGTGCTACAAAACAGATAGTTAATGATCCTATTTGGTGTGTTGCTCATCGACTTAATTTGATTGTTAATAATACAATAAGTGAATGCAATGATGCAAGTGCTCTTATTTGCCAAGTTCGGAATATAGTCAAGCTTTTTAAGCAGAGCAATAACTTTAGTGATATTTTGAGAAAAATACAAAGCAGCGATGGACAAACACCTTTAAAACTGAAGCAGGATGTGTGTACGAGATGGAACAGCACGTACATAATGCTGGAAAGATTCAATGCATTAAGAAATTTTGTATCAATCGCTCTTATTAAAGTAAATAGAGCTGACTTGGATATACCTTTTGGCAATATTGAAGTACTTTGTGATGTTCAAAAATTGTTGGAGCCATTTTTTGCAGTCACTAAAGACTTATCTGGTGAACAATATTGCACCGTTTCACGTGTGATTCCAGTGCTCAACATGCTCAAGCATCGCGTACTTAATCTCAATGTACAAAGCTCAGTTGGTAAAGCTTTTCAGGGTATACTTTGCATGAATCTCAATGAAAGGTTTGGAAGTATTGAGCAAGATAAAAATTTTGCTTATGCAACCATTCTGGACCGTCGTTTTAAACAAGTAGACTTTGCGTCTCCAGCTTGTTGTGCAAAAGCGATAGATGAAATAAATAAAATGTTAAGACATGTTCCTTTAACTCAAACTACTGTTGTGCCTGTTGAATGTGATAGTCTATGGGAACTGCATGAGAAGAGAGTTCAGCAATTATCTAATGATTCTGATGGTTCAGGTTTAAACATTGGACTTAAACATTACTTGAAGATGGTTAATTTGCCTCGTGATGCAGATCCTTTGGAGTTTTGGCGAAAGAATAAGGAAAACTGGCACGAATTACACAACTTAGCCATCAAATATCTTACAACGCCAGCAACCTCAGTTCCTTGTGAACGATTGTTTTCGTGTGCCGGTAATACAATTACTGATAAAAGAAATTCTTTAAAACCAAAGAATGTTAATGCTCTCTGTTTTTTACATTCCCTTCCTGAGGCTTTTCGCCATTGATTGTATCGTTAATATTGCGTCATTAAATAGTGATTATCGATAAATATCGATTATCGATAATCATCGATTTTTCCCAAATAAATTGCGTAACAATCGATAATCGGAAAATTACACAATCGCCCAGCACTAATTTACTGTAAATGATTGAAACGTTGAATTAGTCAAAAGATTTGAAATGACGTAAAATAAAAACATCCACTGATTGACTCAAATGGTTGGCTCCGGTTTCATCCAACTTTGAATCTACATTGCAGGGTGAGAACAAAGTTTCTAATCAGTGTTATGAGAAATTATGAGCTAAAAAGCATCTGAAAGGCGGATCTAAATGTTTAGAAACCTTCTCACTTTGTCAGTGTGTACAAGTACAGCCATTTAATAGCCTTAAAATGAAATTTTGTTTCTAATTCTGAAATTGTGAGTTCACCTAACGCTTACCTAACCTAAAAGCTATTTGAAGCTTCATTAAATAAAATGGAACTAAAATCTGTTTATTTCTTTAGCGCCTAATGGAACCATTTACGCTATTTACATCTTTCATCTTTTAGAGTAAAGTGTTAAAATATGGATTCATTAGAGACTGCTGATCAAATTACAATTGTGAATCGATCCTCAGAACACCGTATCAGCAAAAATTTAATTCGTAGAATTCCTTATTTCGAAAAGCTGTTGAGTTATGATTATTTGGAATCAAGAGAAAACAAAGTTGAACTGGATTTTGATGAAAAGGCTTTTAAGTGGCTTCTCAATTGGATTGAATTCGGTGATATCTTCATCGAGATGGATTATGTCATAAATTTGAGCAACATGGCTGACTATTTCGGGCTAAAAGATCAACTGGAACAAGATTGTGCTCGTTATTTTAGAGAAAATTTTTCTAGCCAACATCTTCCTTCTGTTATACCTCAAGTGACTTCTACAACCAAATACTTGAATTCTGGTTATCTCAGTGCTTTTATATGTCGCTACTTCCTGAAAATATCGAACAAAACAGTTTGGTTGGATTATCCTTTTGAAACAATTGAATACATTTGTGCTTTGGATCTGATGATTCATTCAGAATACCAAGTTTTCGATGCAATCGTGAAATGGGTCAGTTTCAAGACTGATTCTAGAAAGTGCCATCTTGAGAATTTGTTGAAGTTAGTCCGTTGGTGCAATTTGGAAGGTAAGTATTTATCTAAAGTAAAAGAAAATGAGTTGATAGTATCTTACACCAAAACCAGAACTTTGCTCTCATTATTTATATCAAGACTATGCTCTCATGACAAAACTAATTGTAATTGTAACATTGACCGAACTAAACAAGGTTGTTTTGTCGTAATTGAAGAATTAGATGACAAAAATTCGATAATCAAAGTTCTTGACAGTAATTTTCTGCCATTGGTTAATCAAGTAATGCAATCAGATGAATCGTTGCCTTTGCATTTTTTCCATGGTAAATATGCTTCTGATATTTCATTTGAATCTGGAAGGAAAATGATTCGCATTGATTGGAAGCGCAATAAATATCGGTTGTACGATTTTCAAGCTTATAAATTGCATTGTCTTAAAATGCTTAAATGCATTTCTGATAAGCAACAAAGGTGAGTAATCGACTATTTAAATTAACTTATTTGTCTTTAACGATGAACAATAACCAATTGCTTGAATTTTTCCGAAGTTCACTCAAGTTTGAAATTAAAAATCATTATTACCTCTATTGATACATACTGTTTCTATGAAGTTTTAACGTTCTAACATCATCTGCTTCGTAATGATGAATACTTTTAATAATTATTTAAAAATTTTCTCCTGTCTTTTAGTGAGAGTTGGATTGTGCAGACCCAAACAACCTACGCATCATCTGCAGCTTGTGAAAGTGCATTTCTAGAAGTCAACGATAAGTTCCTTGTTGTTCATAACGAGCTAGACAACTTCAGATTTTTAGAGAATCCATCTGCCTTAAATTTTAATTTACACGCTGGTAATGGAGATACTTACATGGCAACTATTTTGGATGATAGTATTTATATGCTGACAAATAAACTTGAATTTTTCCAGTTTAACATTGAACGTAAGCTCGAGTTTAAAAAAATTGAAATTCGTGGGTTTGAAGTTGAATTCAATTTTAAAAATTTATTTTTAACATCCAAGCAAGTTAATGATGATAGAGTTATTATTGTTGATAAGATCAAAAAGGGTGTCTTCTGTTTAAATGTTAGTACTCAAAAATGCAAATCAATGGGTCGAATTATTGATTGTAAAAGTAAATCAACGGATGGTCAAAAGGAATCTAATGTTCTTAAAACTTTTACCTTTGGATTTATATCAATGGACTCGAGCAAACTTTACTTGAAACGTAAATCAACAAAATAAAGTAAGATTTTTTTGAAAAATTATGCAACTGAGTACACTGTATTGATATTATTGTTTACTTAACATACACTGTACTTAAATATTCCCAGAGTTTGCTTTCTCATGGTTTATGGTTAACCCTTCATCACAAACAATTCACTAATTCTCTCTAGTTCCTTTACTTGCCAATAAAATGATCAATTACATTTGTATTACAATCGTTAAAATCAATCAGTAATCAAAATCAAACTCAAATCATTCTTTTTACTACTACAACATGGACTAATGATAATTTTACAAGAAAGAAAGTCAATTATCATTTAAAAACAATCTACGGCATTTTTAATGAAGGCAACAATTATCATTTATCATAAATCATTTTATAAATAATTCTGTTATTCTTAATCCTGAGAATCAAGTTGCTATGAGTTTTCATTATCTTCTCACTTGAAAAAATTTAAAGGACAAAGCCTAAAAAGGAGGATAGCAGAAAGAATAGGAAAAATGGTCTGATCTCACAATTGTCAGAATTTGTTCAAACTAGATTTTTTGATGTACAGAGTGATCGTAAAGTTTCTGGTGGCTATTCTACTGCGAATGAAACCGAATTTTTCGAGTTTGAGGCTTCTGAAGCGTAAAAAGACACTAAAATGTCAAGAATATCAACGAAAAAAATAAATCGCAAGGAACAATACTATTGCAGAAAGTATCGATAAGTATTGTTGAGATTGGTATCGATAATATTACTATTATAGTACTCAAAAATATAATATTGCTGCAGCACTAATTACAATAATATTTGACGTTTATTTCAGATAGTAATCCAGAACAGATAAGTAAGTTAAATTGACAAATTGAGATGGCGTTGAAGGCCGGAGAACATTCTGATTGGCTCAAATGGCTGGGCGTCAACATTATTTGAGCTTGTGGTTCAGTCTCAAACTCTTTTAAAATTTCAGTTAAATTACAATTTACCAAGTTTAATTTGAAAAATTGCCTGAATGTTAAGTTGAAAGAAGCTAACTTTTCTAGTGTTTCTTTATTCTAAGCAAGTCGTCTGAGATATTCCTTTTGATCGTGTAGCATAAGTTTTAGCATTTTGTTTTTCTCAAATTATCAATTTTGTTTAAATTTGTGTGTCAAATATGGCTTTATCAGATACCGATGACCAACTAATGATAGTAAATCGTTCGATAGAATACCTTATTAGTAAAAAACTAATTCGTAAAGTGCCTTATTTTGAAAAGATGTTGAGCCATGAATGTTTGGAATCCAAAGAAAACAAGGTCGTATTGGATTTCAATGAAAAAGCTTTTACAGTAAAACCTCTCAAAGGTTGTGAGAAACTGAACTACCCCATCTAGCGGATTTGACGTTTTACCCCGCTTTTGCAACGAGTTGCACAAACAATATCGCTAGGGGCAGGACCGCTCACAACCTTTGAGAGTACAACCTTTGAGAGGTTTTACTGTAAATCGATCCTGGATTGGGTTAAACGCGATTATACTATGATCCTAATCGAGATGGATTACGTAATTGATTTGTGTGAACTGGCTGATTATTTGGGTCTGGATGTCATTTCGAAAGAGTGTTCAAGATATTTCGAGGATAATTTTACAATTGAACATCTTCCCATTATTATACCTCAAGTGACTGCAACATCTAAATGCATAAGCTCTGGTGCTCTTAATGCTTTCATCTGCCGTAACTTCTTGAAAATAAAAAATTTATACGCTGATTCGATCGATAACTCAAAGAAAACTTTTTGGTTGGAATATCCTATTGAAATAATTGAATACATTTGTGCTTTGGATCTGATGATTTATTCTGAATACCAAGTATTCGATGCAATCATGAAATGGATTGCTTTCAAAGATTTCTCAAGAAAGTGCCACCTCGCAGGATTGTTAAAGCTAGTTCGATGGTGCCATTTGACCGATGAAGATTTATCTAGAATAAAAGAAAATGGATTGTTCAAATCTTCAGGCTTTGAACCAATATTTTGCTATCCGCGAAAGGTTGATTGTGTCTGTACCTTCAATCGAACCAAGCAAAACTTTGTTGTCATGATTGATAGTTTTGAGGGGAGTTCAGATTTGCGAATCAATGTACTTGACAATAACTTGATACAACTGTTTAGTAAAGTCATCAAATATGATGACAAAATTACTAAAGAAATTTTTCATGACGAAGCTATTTTTGATATAACTTACGATGCCGGATCTATGATCGGAGCATTTCGAATAGACTGGAAACGAAACAAATACACGTATGTCCAATCTGATCTATCTTTTAACATATTGCAAAGATGTGTCATTAGAAACAAAGAAGAGTAAGTGATTTTTAATATTAATTAAATCTTGATAGCAGTTCAATTACTAACCTCTCTATACTAAATATTTAATTTATAATATCATGTTTTTTTTTCATGGTTTAGTGACCAACCTCTATATGTAAATGTAGGTGCAATGTGGGAAGCGATTGTTAAGGATGGATATTTAATCTTAGAAGCGGCTGAAGCTTTTATAATGATTACTTTTGAACGGGGCTATTTGAATTATTTTTCGAGGCCGCTCAACACCGATAGAACGCGTTGGCATATATTTGATTCCAGTGCTATTCTTCTGTACAATGCGATTTACTTGTTCAATAACTTTGCATTATACGAGTTCAAAATTCAAGATAATGTGCTCATGCAGACTTGGAGCCATCGTTTGTGTTGTAATGAATTCAGTTTTGAAGATACACTGTTAACATCAAGTCCAGCTGGTGATAAAATTATGGTGATTAATAAGTATACAAGAAACTATATCTGTTTCGATGTCAATACTAAACAGAGTTCCACCGGTCAAATAATATCTTATTCCTCTACTCCTGATCAAAAGGAGTCCAACGGTCTGCGTACTCTTACTCAAGCTTTTCTTCCGCTAAACGCCATCAGAACTTGCTTAAACACCGAATCAAACTCAGAGAATTAGTTAGTTCGCTAACATTTGCCATAAACTGAGTACTTCATGAACTTACAACAGCTTTAAAATTAGCTTGAATAATTGTTTTTTCTTTGAACTAAACTTGTAATTTAAACTTGTCATAAAAAACATTTAAACTCATTTTATTCTTGTATTCAAATTGAAATTCACTCATTTTGATTAAATCATTTTAATATTATGGATAATTAAGCACCACTAGAAACTGCGACGATCATGACTGATTACGGAAAATTCAATCAAAATTTAAAATCTCCAAAAACAATGGCCAAAAACTTCGATTTCACCGTTAAGAGTTGGGACTTAGTGAGTTATTAGGGGTATAAAAACTGAGTCTATTAGTGCTATTGAAATTTTGTTTGAGTCGGCAGTTTTCGATAAAATCGAGGTCAAAGTTGGAACTTCGATCGCCTTTTTTTCAATAATGAAACAAGATTTTTTCATGAAACTCATTTTCCTGGTGTAACTTTTGCTGATTAATCAGAAAATGTAATTATTTGCAATGAAAAAATTCTCATGTTCAGATTAAAACAAATCACTTCGATTTTCAGTTAAATTGACCGCTCTCTGTGACCGCTTGGGTTAGAGATCTGAAACTCATTTTTTACCGGTAAAACTCATAGGTGAACATGTTGAGTCAGCCAATTTTTTCGAATTTAACTAAAACGCGAAGTGATCTGTTTTTGATCTGAACAGAGAATTTTTCATTAAAAATAATTACATTTTCTGGTTAAACATCAAAATTTACACCAGGAAAATGAGTTTCATGAAAAAATCTTGTTTCATCATCGAAAAAAGGCGATTGTAGTTTCTCGAAGTTCCAACTTTGACCTCGATTTTATCGAAAACTGCCGACTCAAACAAAATTTCAATAGCACTAATAGACTCAGTTTTTATGCCCCTAATAACTCACTAAGTCCCAACTCTTAACGGTGAAATCGAAGTTTTTGGCCATTGTCCTTTTTGATGAAAAAACTTTGAGAAAAAATTACAATCAGATTCTACAACGGAACAAAAGTTGGAACTATGAAAGCGATTTATCAAAAATTCAGAGCAGGGAAGTTTATTCCACAATTTTTTCATGTATTTTAAATTAAGTCATAACTCTTAACTCGAAAGTCTAAGTTTGTTACTTGCTAATTATCCAACAATATACCCTAGCTTCATTATCTCAACGGATACAATTTGAGCTGATCATTGGAAGATTGCCATTCAGTGCCATTTGGAAGATAAAGATTTACCTAGGATGAAGGAGCAGGTTCAATCTCTAAATTATCAACCTTCCAAATTACATGCTCTTTCTTAAAACGGGATTGTGATCTTAATTGCAATCGAACCAGGCAAGAGTATTTCATTGAGATTTACGAATTGAATGCCACAAGTTTGCGAATCGATGATTGATCAAATCATCTGCAACTCTAATTCAAACAATAAGTCAGTGAGCTTAACAAATTAAGATGGCGCCAAAGGCTGCAAAACAGTAGTCACTGATTGGCTATAAGATTGGGTGTTAGCTAACATAACTTTTGCATTCACTTCTGCTTTATGTGCCTTGTAACTTGAAAAAATTGCTTCTATTAAAGTGAAAACCTAAACAATTTTTATACGTAGGTTTAAAGAAAAAACATTAACACGTCCAATACTCTCCTCTTGATTGTCTAGCATAAGTTCAACATTTTGCTTCTGAATTTAAATTGTGCGTCAATATGGATTCTTTAGAAACTGGTGACCAACTTATAATAGTTAATCGATCCACGGAGCATCGTATAAGTAAAAAACTAATCTGTAAAATACTTTATTTTGAAAAGATGCTGAACCTTGATTTAAAGGAATCAAAGGAAAACAAAGTCGTATTGGATTTCGATGAAAAGGCTTTTAAATCAATCTTCAATTGGATTAAACTCGGATTTATCTTCATCGAGATGGATTGTGTAATAAATATGAGTATCATGGCTGACTATTTCGGGATAAGTGATCGTTTGATGAATAATTTCATCTCATATTTTCATGAAAATTTTTCAATTGAGCATCTTCCCGTTATTATACCTCAAGTTACTTCAACATCTAAGTTGATCAACTCTGGTGCTCTCTATGCTTTTATTTGCCGCTATTTTTTAAAAATCGTGAACACGCCTGTTTGGTTGAATTATCCTCCTGAAACAATTGGACGTATTTGTGGTTTGGATTTGATGATCCATTCAGAATACCAAGTTTTCGATGCGATCATGAGATGGGTCAAAGCAAAGGCGGATTATAGAAAGCATTTTCTAAAAATATTGCTAAGCTTGATTCGATGGTGCCATTTGGAAGATGAAGATTTGGCTAAAATAAAGGAAAATAGCTTCTTTAAATTTTCAAACTTTGAAATCGAATTATGCTCTCGTAACAAACCTAATTGTAATTGCGGTATCGACCGAACTAAACAAGGTTGTTTTGTCGTTATTGAAGAATTGAGTGACAAAAAATTGCAAGTCAAAGTACTTGACGGTAACTTCTTCCCATTGGTTAATCAATTAATTCAAAATGATCCATCACTGCCTTTGCACCTTCCCCATGAGGAACATGTCTCTGATATATTCTTTGATTCTGGAAAAGAAATTATTCGTATCGATTGGAAGCACAATAAATATCGTTATATGGATTATAAATCGCATTATCAAAAAGTTCATAATTGTATTTATAAAAGTTCTAGACGGTAAGCAATCTTTCTCCTAGATTAATCTATTTGCCTTTTATCTGTTATTCAGTTACTTCTGTGGTAAACACTATTAATTGGAAATAAAATGAATGCATATATTGATGCACATCGTTACTGAAAAGGCTCGCGCCTTCCAGCTAACGAGAAGTTATTTCAGTTGATAATAATGAATACTATAATGTTATAAAACATTTTTTGTTTTTTTTAGTGGGGAATATTATGCTGTAACCACCAAACCAGAACTTGAATTATTTTGTCGAGACGTGAACTTCGTATGTCCTCAACTTTCACTTCTCGAAGCTAACGAAAAATTCATTCTTGTTCTTGATGATTTTTGGAGGTTCAGGTGTTGGGAGACTCCATCTATGGCAAATTTTAATGACTCTAAATACAATGTAGATTCATACCTGGCAACTGTTTTGGATAACTATATTTACATAGTGACAGAAAAAGGTAAATTCATTGAGATTAATATTGAATGTAAGATCGCGTTAAAAATTGAATTTCAAAGGCTTCAAAATAAATTCAAGTTTAGTAATTTATTTCTAACATCCAAGCAAATGAATGATGATAGAGTTATTTTTGTTGATAAGACCACCAACGATGTTGTCTGTTTTAATGTTAGCACTCGAGAATGGAAATCAATCGGTAGAATCATTGATTGTGAAAGCAAATCTGCGGATGGTCGAGAGGAATATAAAACTCTCAAAACTTTTACCTTTGGATTTGTATCAACGGACTCAATCAACCTTTGTTTGGAACGTGATCTCAATGAAATGCCGCTAATATGATACAATTATTCATTGACTGAGTTGGTATTTTTGGTAACTCATCTTTCTGATAATTTGATACAAGCGTTCTTTTATTGCTTTGATATGCATAGAAATGGATCGATCATGCATAAGAGCTGATTTTTTTCTACAGTTTTGATTGTTTTATTAAAGAAATTTTTTCATGATGAATGCAGCTTCAATTGATGTTAATTACTGTTGCACAAATTATAAATTGAATAAAGTTTAATCAACCAACACAACCATTTGATTAAATACTGGTTACTGTCAACATAGTGGTTTAATTTCTCGAAATCTATTGTGATATTGAATCAAGTCCAATGTCTGTTTACTTTGAGACTAAGACTAATAACCAGAAAATGCAATTATTTTCAATGCAAAAATTCTCTGTTCAGATCAAAAACAGATCACTTCGATTTTCAGTCAAATTGACCGCTTTCTGTGACTCACCGTGTTCACTTATGAGTTTTACTGTTGAAAAATGAATTTCAGATCTATATCTATCTCTATAATTTCAGGTTTTTATTCTGAAATTGTGAGTTCACCTAACGCTTACCTAACCTAAAAGCTATTTGAAGCTTCAACAAATAACATTGGACTAAAATCTGTTTAATTCTTTAGTTCATAACGAGCTAGACAACTTCAGATTTTTAGAGAATCCATCCGCCTTAAATTTTAATTTCCACGCTGGTAATGGAGATACTTACATGGCAACTATTTTGGATGATAGTATTTATATGCTGACAAATAAACTTGAATTTTTCCAGTTCAACATTGACCGTAAGCTCGAGTTTAAAAAAATTGAAATTCGTGGGTTTGAAGTTGAATTCAATTTTAAAAATTTACTTTTAACATCCAAGCAAGTTAATGATGATAGAGTTATTATTGTTGATAAGATCAAAAAGGATGTCTTCTGTTTCAATGTTAGCACTCAAAAATGCAAATCAATGGGTCGAATTATTGATTGTAAAAACAAATCTGTGGAGTACCAAAAGAAATCTAATGTTCTTAAAACTTTTACCTTTGGATTTATATCAATGGACTCGAGCAAACTTTACTTGAAACGTAAATCAACAAAATAAGAAAGATTTTTTTGAAAAATTATGCAACTGAGTACACTGTATTGATATTATTGTTTACTTAACATACACTGTACTTAAATATTCCCAGAGTTTGCTTTCTCATGGTTTATGGTTAACCCTTCATCACAAACAATCCACTAATTCTCTCTGTTTCCTTTACTTGCCAATAAAATGATCAATTACATTTGTATTACAATCGTTAAAATCAATCAGTAATTAAAATCAAACTCAAATCATTCTTTTTACTACTACAACATGGACTAATGATAATTTTACGAGATCGAAAGTCAATTATCACTTAAAAACAATCTACGGCATTTTTAATGAAGGAAACAATTATCTTTATATGATAAATCATTTTACAAATTATTCTGTTATTCTTAATCCTGAGAATCAAGTTGCTATGAGTTTTCATTATCTTCTCAAATGATTATGCTGAAGCTGCTGTTTTTGCTAAAGAATTACAAACTTTGATTGACGATTCCTTGAATTGAATAAAAGATTGTCTTTCAACTTTATTCCGATGGTTTCTGCTCAGATGACTAGTTTGAGTAAGTTAGCTAGAGTTTATGCTAGTTATATGATAACTATTGTCTAAATAATTGATGGCAATGCCCAGATTGGACATTGTATATTGATGAAAACTGTTTTCATAACTGGATCTCACATTGCAAATGGTTATTTAGCTTAATGGAGTGTCACAAGTTAAAAATTTTCACTGATAACAATTGCAAAATAAGAACAAGATAAGCAAATGAAGTTTGCTCGTTAGCGAAGAGAAACGATTGTTTCGATATCAAATGTCCATTTTCACCAAAATATTATTCAAATTATCTTCAAAATCTGTTAACGATTGATAAACTGATATCAACTTATGATCTCACATTTCATATGGTTTGACATTCTTGATCCCTCTTCTTGCTTAGATTTTCTTAATGGTTAATTAATTGATTTAATCATTACTTGTATCATACAAGTTGTATGTCATCCACATAAGAATCAAATTACAAAGCTAATCCAGACGATGAGCCAGTTAGCTGAACAAATTAAGTAGGAGTTTAAGTGAAAGACACTAGTGTTCGCTGATTGTTTCAACTGATTTTATCTTTTGAGTCCACTCTTGTAGCTTAGAAAATTATTTATATAAAGTAAGCTTTGAATAAATCATGACATTTCTATTCTTACATTGTTAGCATCAAACCTTAAAAATCGATCACCTCGTACGATAATCTCGATAATAGTGAAGTTTTTGCATTTGTTTTTGATTTCAAAGTGTGTCAAAAATGGATTCATTAGATACTGATGACCAACTAACGATAGTTAATCGTTCAACTGAATACCGTATTAGTAAAAAACTGATTCGTAAAGTGCCTTATTTTGAAAAGATGTTGAGCCATGAATGTTTGGAATCAAAGGAAGCCAAAGTTACATTGGATTTTGATGAAAAAGCAGTCAAGTCGGTTCTAGATTGGGTTAAACGCAATTACACTATGATCTTGATCGAAATGGATTACGTAATTGATTTATGTGGACTGGCTGATTATTTCGGTTTGGATGTGATTGCGAAAGAGTGTTTAAAATATTTCGAGGATAATTTTACAATTGAACATCTTCCCGATGTTATACTTAAAGTGACTTCAACATCTAAATTTTTAAACTCTGGTGCTCTTAATGCTTTCATCTGCCGTTATTTCTTGAAAATAAAAAATTTATACGCTGATTCGATCGATAACTCCAAGAAAACTTTTTGGCTGGAGTATCCTATTGAAACAATTGAATATATTTGTGCTTTGGATCTGATGGTCTATTCAGAATATCAAGTATTCGATGCAATCGTGAGATGGGTCAATTTCAAGGCTTATTCAAGAAAGTGCCATCTCGTTGAACTGTTAAAGTTGATTCGATGGTGCCATTTGAGCGAGCAAGATTTATCTAAAATAAAAGAAAATGGATTGTTTAAATCTTCTGGTTTTGAACCAATATTTTGCTCTCCTCGTAAGGTTAATTGTGAATGTACCTTCAATCGAGCCAAACAAAATTGTTTCGTTATGATTGAATTTTGTGAGACGGGTTGTAAATGGCGAGTCAAAGTACTTGACAATAACTTGACAGAATTAGCTGATCAAGTCTTTATCTCTGATGATTCAATTCCTGCAAACTTTTTTCAGGACGAACACATTACTGATATTACTTATGAATACGGAAAGAGTGCACTTCGAATAGACTGGAAACGAAAAAAATACAGGCATGTCTCATCTGATCTATCTTTTAACATACTGCAAAGATGTGTTATTAGAAACAAAGATGAGTAAGTGATTTTTAATTTTAATTTAATATTGATTATACCGATTACTAATATCTTTATGCATTTGTTTTCATAAAAATAGTATTCAGCATTCATATTATTTCAAATACAGTTATGGCTTAAGACAAGTATCAAATTATCATGTTAATTTATCATGTTTTCTTTCATCCTTTAGTGACCAACCTTTATCTGTGGATCCAATGCTGGAAGAGCCTATTGAGCAGGGATATTTGATTTTAGAAGCGGCTGAAACTTTTACGCTGATTTCCTTTGCAGGAAGAGATTTGAATTATTATTCAAGGCCGACTAACGAGGATAGAGAGCGTTGGAAGCTTATTGACTTCGGAGCAACTCTTATGGACAATGCGATTTACTTGCTTTCGAATGACCTTACATTATACGAGTTCAAAATTCAAAATAATATGCTTGTGAAGACTTGGAGCCATCGTTTGTGTGATAATGAATACAATTTTGAAGATACACTGTTAACATCAAGTCCAGCTGGAGATAAAATTATGGTGATTGATACATATACAAGAGATTATATCTGTTTCGACGTCAATACTAAAGTGAGTTCCAAGGGTCAAATGGTATTTTATTCCTCTGCAGGCAAAAAAGACTCCAGCAGACTGTTGACTTGCACTCCAGCTTTTCTTCCTCTGAAAACCATCAGAACTTGCTTAAACTCTAAACCAAACTCAGAGAATTAGTTATTTGACTAAAATTATTCATAAACAGAGTACTTCATGAACTTACTAAAGCTTTAAAATTTGGCTTAAGGAAATAGTTGTTTCTTCAAACCAACTTCAATTTAAGGTTTACTAATTCAACAAAAAATCATTCAAACTTATCTTTTTCTTGAAACCAAATTAAAATTCAGTTATTTTATTCAATAAATCACTTAATGCAATGACTAATTATTTAACACTAGAAACTGCTGCGATCAGGACTGATTACGTTACATTAAATCCACATTTAGAATACTCCCATTTTTGATAAAAACATCTTATTAATAAAAATTCAAATAAAAAAGTATACTTTAATACATACTGTAGTCATGTTTTTTCAAAATCTTTATCTAATCACTCTGTTTTAATCGATTCAATCGATACTTAATCGAACTGTTTAGAGCTTTGATGTTAAGCCAATTGGATGACTTCCTGATTGGCTCAAATGGCTGGGCGTAAACTAATTTTCTGAGCCTGTCGTTTAGTGTCTAACTCTTTTTGAAAATTTTCAGTTACATTAATTTCAATTTTACAGAGTGAATTTAAAAAGTAACACTTTCCTATTGTGTTTTTATACTGTAGAAGTTGTCCAATGCTCTTCTTTTGATAAGTTTAAGTTTTTGCATTTGTTTTTGATTTCAAATTGTGTGTCAAACATGGATTCATTGGATACTGATGACCAACTAACGATAGTAAATCGTTCGACTGAATACCGTATTAGTAAAAAACTAATTAGTAAAATACCATATTTTGAAATGATATTGAGCCATGACTGTTCGAAATTGAGGACAAACAAAGTTACATTTGATTTTGATGAACAAGCAGTGAAATCGATCATGGCTTGGATTAAACGCGAAACAACTATTATCACAATCGAGATGAATTACGTATTTGATTTGTACGAACTGGCTGATTATTTGGGTCTAGATGTGATTTCCAAAGAGTGTTTAAAATATTTCGAGGATAATTTTACGATTGAACATCTTCCCAGTTTTATACCAAAAGTTACTAAAACATCTAAATGTATAAGCTCTGCAGCTCTTAATGCTTTCATCTGCCGTTATTTCTTGAGGATAAAAGATTTATATAGTGATTCTATCGATGACTCTAGGAAAGCTTTTTGGCTGGAATATCCTATTGAAACAATTGAATATATTTGTGCTTTGGATCTGATGATTTGTTCAGAATATCAAGTATTCGACGTAATCATGAGATGGGTCAATTTCAAGGCTTACTCAAGAAAGTGCCATCTCGTTGAACTGTTGAAGTTGGTTCGATGGTGCCATTTGAGCGAGCAAGATTTATCTAAAATAAAAGAAAATGGATTGTTTAAATCTTCTGGTTTTGAGCCAATATTTTGCTCTCCTCGAAAGGTTAATTGTGAATGTACCGTCAATCGAACCAAGCAAAACTTTTTGATTATGATTGAAAAATGGGAGAGGAACTTAGATTTTCATGACAAACTAACGATAGTAAATCGTTCTTCAGAATACAAGATTAGTAAACAAAAAATCCGTAAAATACCTTATTTTGAAAAGATGTTGAGCCATGACTGTTTGGAAACAAAGACAAGCAAAGTTGTTTTGGATTTTGATGAAAAGGCTTTCAATTTATTATTACATTGGATTGAATTCGATAATTTAATAGTAGATATGGAATGCTACATAGCTCTTTATGACATCAGTGATTATTTTGAGATAAATTACTTGATGCAAAAATGTATTGATTATTTTAACTCTAACTTTTCCATGGAACATCTTCCAACTGTTATACCTCAAATGACTGAAACTTCCATATTGATAAATTCTGGTGCTCTCAATGCTTTCATCTGTTTCCATTTCTTGAAGATAGCAAGCACAACTGTTTGGTTGGATTATCCTGTTGAAACAATAGAGTACATTTGTGCTTTGGATTTGATGGTTCATTCAGAATATCAAGTCTTCGTGGCGATTGTCAGTTGGGTCGATTTTAATGCTGATTCTAGAAATTTTCATCGTGAAAGATTGTTAAGATTAGTTCGATGTTGTCATTTAGAATCGGAAGTTTTATCTGTATTAAAGAAAAATAAAGCAATGTTCGAATCATCAGGTTCCGAGCCATTTTGTTGGCCTATTTGTTATTGTTTCTCTGACAGAGCTAAGCAAAATTGCTTTATCATTATTGAAAAATTGCAGGGTACAGATTTACGAATCACAGCTCTTGGCAATAATTTTCTGTTTCTGTTTAATCGAGATATAAAATTGGACGAATCAATATCATTGAATCTGCTTCATGATGAATATGTTTCTGATATTTTCTACCATTCTGGAAGTAAAGCAATTCGAATTGATTGGAATCGAAGAAAATATCGTTTTTTCAATGATACCGATTTAAACACCTATATTTCTGACACTTTTAAATTTATTGGATTAAATAATGATTCAATAAATCGATGGTAAGTTATTTATTTTGAAATCAGCACTCTCTCCACACTTGAGTGCCGTATCCATATTAAACATCCAACAACGAGGCCATCCCTCTCGATCAGTAAATTCAGCCACTCACTTCATTTCCTGGGATCCTCTGGCAATCTTTTTTTACATTTCGTTTATTCAATACTTTTTGTATTCGCAAATAATTAATTTCAAACTTTTTTTTTACATTTTAGGTTAAAATATTGGGAGAGAACATCTCGCTTCTTGCCTATCCATAGCTGGAAAGTCCGGGTAACAGGTTCAGAAGTTAAGTCATTCCACGGTCATGAGGAGAAATTTGAGTATTTGTTTAAAGAAATAATGAGAACTGATGATAAAATCAGATTAACTGATTTTCATTATCAGGTTATCAAACATCGTGTAACTGTGCTGTCCGATAATATATTCATCCTGACAAATGATTTTGAGTTTGGCAAGTTCAATGCTCCCGCCAAACATTTCACGAAGATCGAGTATCCAAAAACCATAGGCGCACATGTATGGACTTACGACAATTTGTATTTAACTTCAAGCGTAGATTATCCTGATCGAGTTTTTTTGATTGTCAGGTCCTCAAGAGATGTCTTTTGTTTCAATATTAATAATGAAGAATGGAGTCGTTTTGGCCGTTTGGCATATTCTTGTGCTAAACGGAGTCGTGATTATGGTCAAGATGAATCTAATAAGTTGATTACTTTGACGCCAGCTCTTCTACCGTTAAACATGATCAAACCATAACCACAACTCAGTTCATTGACGATTTTTAACACAATTATCCTTGACTGATGATTGTCCTTAGCAATAAATTGTTAAATAAACTAAAAATGACCCATTTCAAGTTAACATGATTAATAATTAAAATAATAAAAATTATTTGTTTATTTCCATTACATTACTTTATTCAAAGTGGATACAGATTTGTTTTGATCTCTGATTAGTCTTTTGTATTGCTAGATATGTATTACTGAGTTTAAAAGTTGTAAGTTACAAGTGCTCGCAAAATTACATTGAACAATTAAACCTTTCAAAAAGTTTAAGTTGACTTTAACCTTAAAAGTTCCGAAACGGACAATACTGAGTAGCTGAGATTAAGTCAAATTATGCATTATGCTGAATACCAAGTTTACGACGCGATCATGAGATGGGTAACTTTCAAGGCTGATTCTAGTAAAGACTATCTCGAAGGATTTTTAAAGCTAATTCGATGGCGCAATTTGGAAGTTACGGATCAATGGAAAATAAAAGAAAATGAATTAGTTAAAACTTCTGACTTTGAACCAGCATTTTGCTTCTCTAACAAACCTAACCGAACTAAGCAAGGTTATTTTGTCGCTATTGAAGAATTGTGTGACAAAAATTGCAAATCAAAGTCCTTGATGATGATTTCTCGTTATTGATTAACCAATTATTTCAATATGACCAATCACTGCCTTTGCATCTTCTCCATGATGAACATATTTCTGATATACACTTTGATTGTGGTGAACACACAATCCGTATCGATTGGGTGCACAATAGATATCGTTTTTCGGATCGTAGCTCGCATTTTCATAAAATTTCTAGCTGTATTTTTGAAAATGAATGGTAAGCAATCTTTCTCTGATTAATTTATATGTCTTTTATTATTATGCAGTCAACTACTGTGGACAATATTATTTGGAAATCAAATAATTAAATTTACTTCTATCGATTACTAAGAAGGTTCATCCCTCCAAGCTAACAGAAGTTATTTCAGTTGTTAATGGTGAGTACTTCTATTGATAGTTATAAAACATTTCTTTCTTTTAGTGGTGAATCCTATATTGAGACGAAAAAACCAGGCCAAACAGATGCAGGGTACTGTCGTGAGCTTTTACTGTTGGAAGCTACCAAAAATTTTATTCTCGTTCGTAACGATCAATACTGGTTCAGATGTTGGGAGACTCCATCTATAGCAGATATTGCGGCTAACTGTGCATGGAACGGACATTCTTACCTGGAAACTATTTTGGATAACAGAATTTATATGCTGAAAGATGATCTCGAACTGTTCCAGTTCAACATTGACCGTAATTTCGAGTTTAAAAAGATAGAACTTAAAAAGTTGCAAAATAAATTGAAATTCGAAAATGTACATTTAACATCCATGCAAGCTAATGATGATAGGGTTATTTTTGTTGATAAGATCACGAAAGATGTTTCTTGTTTCAACGTTGGCACTCAAAAATACAAATCTATCGGTCGAATTATTGATTGTAAAGGCAAATCTACGGATGGTTAAAAGGAATCTAATGTTCTTAAAGCTTTTACCTTTGGATTTATATCAACCGATTCGATTAACCTTTGCTTGAAACGTGAATCAAACCAATAAAGCAAGGCTCATTTGACACAAACATTCATAAACTTATTACACTGAATTGATATTCTTGCTAACTTGTTATTGTGATGAATTCAATCCAAACGTTTCTTTTATTCATTTAATATACTAGTACATAGAAAATCGAATTGAATGGATCATTATATGAGCCACAGTCTGATTTCTTTCTGTATGTTTTCTTCATTTCATGATCATCATCAGTCTAACGACTCAATTGTTTATTACATTAACAAGCCAGTAAATGTTCAGATAAGGTACAGATTACTGTTGCTTTAGGTAGTAAGTTTTATTTAATTGACCAGACATTTCGTTAGTCTTTCGTTTGATTAATCTAATTTTATTTTGATCTTATTTTTCTATTCAAAGAAATATCAAATCTAACATTCTCTTAACATTCTAACATTAAATGGTCAACACTTCCAATCCATCTTTTCGTTAAGATTTTGCAGCTTGTTGCTAAATTGTTTCAACAAATGCAAGTACATAAAAGCCAATTAAAAGTGAAAATCAAATATCAAAGTTCAAAGTCAAAAATCAAAGTTTTTCTAGGATAAGCTTCTCACGAATTTGTTAAATTTTGTTTAGCCTTACGAAATGATTTAGTGTATCCTACATAATTGGCTTTCAATCTCGTAAAACTACCATTAGATATCTTTCAATCCAAACCATTTTTAATTAAGATAACAATTATCTTGCTGCAATTATCATTTGCTTTCTCACTGTTTAT